TCTGAATGTATTTCTTTCTGCTCATTAACATGATGTATACAGTTTAACTACATTAAGGAACTGCAACTGGCTTAGCAGTTATTTTACAGCTGGTGAGTATTTGTGACCCTACAAAAAGTTTCATTTCCTTATTTTCAGTGATCAGCAAAAATAGAGTGCCTTTATCTGATCTTCTGGAACTCCTACCCAGATTAAGCCTTTCAAATGGCTTTGATGTCAGCACCTCTGAGCCTTGACATTGGTCCCACATATATAAAAATAAATACGAACATGTATAAAATGTTCCTTTACTTTGGTCCCTTTATGCTATATTTTAAAGCCCTAGGTGGGGAGTCAAATATAGTTGAAAGGAACTGAAATCAAACATTTATATTACATTTTAAAACTCTAGATGTGAGATTAAACGTGATTAATTATAGAGTCATAAAACTGTGCAAGTATTAATATGATTGCACAATACAAGGGATAATGGCTGTGAAACAAACACTTTTTTCTCTTTCATTAATGGTTGTCTATATTCCTTCCTCACCTTCTCCTATGCCTTCTATTTTATATCTAGGGGGTAAATTATATAAAAAAAAATATAATTGGACAAAAAAGTATTCTTTTTGTAGCAAAGCTGTAGTGCCTTACAGAGAATTCATTAGGATATTGAGAAAAACAACTGAAAGGACATTGTATAGGAAATAAGTTTCAAATATATTTAAAACCTACCTAGAAGTATTGTTGTCCCAAGAAAAAATGAGCTTGCTGATCATGGAATGCAAGAGCCAAAAAGCACACTAAAAGAGACAATGGAAATGCTTTATTCGTATAAATAAGAGTGCAGGGGGATAATTTTCCAAACCCAGCACACATACAGTACTGCACTAGTGACCATCCTTTTATTTATTTCTACAAGGAAGATTCAAATTTCAACAAAAACCTCCTCTAAGTCTTATCATTTTCAGCAGTTCATCTGGAAGTCATGATGGGTGAGGGAAGATATGGGTTCAAGTTATTAGAAGCTCATTAGTTGACTTGGGGCCTGATACACAAAATACCATTCACAGCCTTTGATCACCAGGCAAATCTACTGTTTCTTACCGAGCAAGAGGCACGGTCAAATAAAGATGGAGTAGCTCTGGCAGGTATTGTAGTATCTGGACAAAATGTCTTCCCTTCTGTCTGTCCATCCATCCCACAAGTTCATGTGGAAGCAACAGTATGAAAAGAACAAGAACAAATGCAACGTATTAAAAATATCAATATAATGACACAGATGATTCCTGTGAGAAACACCATTGTGTATTACATAATCAGATGAAACATCTGATGCAATAAAAATAGTTTAAGATCACTTTGGAGACTCACTCTAAAACTGGTAATTTGATTTTTTTCCTTAAAAAAAATTAAGTCTTATTTCCCATAGTTCCAGAATTAAGATTTATTTATAGGATTAGAATTATGGTGTGGAATATATGGAAGTGTAAACTAGAATTGCATATAATCATACTTATGAGTACGAACCAAGTAACTACCCATATATATTTTGAGACTATGAATTGTACCAACAGGAAGCATTTCCCATTTCCTGCTTATTAAGGCATTGTATCTTCTCCTAGCTTTCTCTCTATTTCACATAAGCACAAGAAATTGTGATATTGAAATTTCATTGATTTATTAAATCGATCTGCTGGCAATCTCCCTGATAAGGCAAATCTGGGTAGTTTACAGATTATAAAAAGATAAATAAAGAAGCAATTACAATTTTGACACTATACAAATTAAAAACTTAAAACTATGCAAAAAAATCAGGATATGGATGGTATGGGGAGGTCTTCTTACCCGGTCAACCACCTCCAGCAGTGAGTGCCTCCTTCTAGGCTCCAAGCCAGCTGGCAAAACTACATTTTAATTAATTGTTTTATTAATTTATTTGCTGCCCATCTCATTTCTAAGCGACTCTGGGCAGTTTATAGTATAAAAACATTAAAATAATCTGAAATAAATATTCCTAAGCCAATAAAATAACAATTTACAAATTCCCCACAAGATGGGGACAGAGGAAGCCAGATGCAGGAGGGAGGGGGAGGAGGAATTAACAATTAATCATCCACTTCTATTGCGATACTGCCCTGCTGGGTTCCCAAGCTGTCTGGCAGAGCCAGGTCTTTAGGCCCTTACAGAAGGTCAAAAGGTAAAAGCCGATCTTACCTCAGGGGGTATATTCCAAAAGTCAGGAGCCACAGCAGAGAAGGCCATTGTCCTAGACCAGGGGTAGGCAACCTTGGCTCTTTTATGACTCATGGACTTCAACTCCCAGAAGTCCTGAGCCAGCACAGCTCAGCTTGGAAATCTCTCCCTTTCCCCCCAGTATGGCTGGCTCAGGAATTCTGGGAGTTGAAGTCCTCAAATCATAAAAGAGCCAAAGTTGCCTACCCCTGTCCTAGACCCTGCCAGCCTAAATTCCTTGATTGATGGATCCGCAATATGACCTCTGTGCTGGTGTGGATGGGGTGTGCCAGCCCCATCAGTTCCTTTCTCAAAGGGCACAGCATTATAAACTAGAAACATTTGCTTACCAGAGACCATCCCTTGTTCTAATGAAAGACCAAAATTCTGTTCAGTTTGATATTTATTCAGCTGTACTACTGCTTCTGATTGGCTGCTGTGAATCCATTTATTTCCACTTCCCACTTTCTCCCTCTCCTTCGTTCAGTCAGGGGGGCTATATTAGAAGATCTTTTGTCATTTACAAACTACAACTCTTGTCCTCAATAATGTGCCGATTGACCCTTCCTTGGAGTGCGCCAAGCTCCTTGTCCTATCTAATTACAAAAATGAAATAAATGGGAAACCAGCAGGCAGTCAGGCAAGAGACCCATTTCAAGGAATCTGTACTTCTAAATATGCTTCTGCCCCCCCCCCCCAGACTTCCAAGGCCTCCTTAATAAAGTGGGGGATAGCCCAGTCTAGTGTTTTGCATGTCTTCAAGTGATGGCTTCAGGGACTTCTCCAGAGGATGTCCAAATAATCAAAATAGTGGCTGCACTCATGCAATTAAATTCTCACCTACTTTTATACTATATGTACAACCTGTGTTAAAAAAAAGGAACAAGTGTTCAGTTGAGTGTATTGATGTTACCAATATATTGATTATATTGGTAACATCTACTATGGGGCCTTTTCTTGAGAGAGGTCCTCACAGAGTCTCAAAATTCCCCTTATCAATTGGACCTCAGAGTTGGGGATCCCTGCCTTAAAAAATATGACTGCTGCAGCAAATTCAAATATCTCTTTTTCTCTCGTAATTTTCTTTCTTTTTCTCCGGTGAACAGGAATTCTCTCCTGGTTCCTGCTGATTTTTAAGAATGGTACCTGCAGGCTCAGAAACTGGTGTGCCTGTAGAGAGAAACATGATTTTTAAATAAAAAGGATAAAGGTTTTTAGCAGGATCACTCAGTTTTAAGAGGTGGTTCTCTCAAGAGGCCCTGACTCAACTGCTTTGCCTTATAAAGCAAAGGCATGTATTAGGTTTCCCCACTCCCGCCTTTTTCTAGTGGAATGTTTTGGATCCAGCTTTGTAAGGAAGCTAAATCAGGCAGTATTTCAAATTTATTGAAAAGGTTTTTTATTCTAATAAGATCCATGCAAAATGTGCTCTTTAATAACTTATAATTTTGAGGAAATGAGCTGAATAATTCAGAATTTTACACATTTTTCAGTTTATTTGGTTTCTTCCAGATAGTTTGGATTACTACTCCCCTCATCCTGACCATAAGTCATGCTAATGGGAATTGTAGTCAACAACCACTCGTGGAAAAAACCTGTTGTGTATGAAGGAACACATTTGTTGTTCCTGGATAACTACACAAAGAACTGCAGACAGTCTATATATGTATCCCTGAATCCTGACAATATTAATTTTAGTAACTCGAGCTACTACTAGCATGGATTTCATATCCAAGTCTGTTTATTTCTATATCAATGTATAAGCTGAAGTAAAGAACACAATAAGCTTACAATTAATATGACAGCCTGGGAAACTCCACACAGTTCAGCAAATTTGGCTACAAATGTTTAGTAAACTTTTTAAGAGGCCCTTGGACTTTAAGATCTTAAGATAGAAGCAGTCACACTGCTCACAACCCAAAAAGGGACAGAGTTTTTACATCTCATGATCCTGTAGATGCCATTGATGGAGATGCTGTGTTGCTTACTTCAACTAAATTTAGGGGCAAATGCTGAGATTTACTTCAGAGTAAATCTAAAACTCTCCCATGCATATGGAGATTCTCAAATCATCCACGTTATGGTTCTCCTAAAGGTGCTTTTGAACTGAAGAAGCTTCTTGGATGAGAAATGAAATGTTTTCAAAGAAAAAAAAAAAACCAAGAAAGTCAAGTTGCCTTTTGGAAAAAGCACCTTTGGCATGGCATTAATCCATGTTTTTGTAATATGGTACAGTACATCATGAGCATTGATTTCCTTTCCTTCTGACTATTATAACTCAAAATATCTCTTAGTCCTATGTTTGATAAGGCATCTGCTCTGCATTTCCACTCTTCTTGGTGCCACATAGTTCTAAAAATCAAACCACAGCTTCACTTTCCTGTTGTGTATGAGGTATTAATCTCTCTGGCAGTTCTAACATTTGGTTCCACCCCCTCTAGTCTGTGAATGAGATCTTTCCAGGATGGAGCCAAGGCAGGATTAATGACTCCTCTTGTGTGCCATTGACAGCTACATACATAATAGTACACATGGATTTTGCCAAAGCATCTGTTCCATGCCAGAAACTGTCCCTGATGCACCAACTAGCCCAGGAATCTCTCAGTAGCAGCTAGCCCAAATTCTCTTTGTGTTTATATAGCAGGCAGCCAAAGCTTCTCCTGACTTTGTGAACAGCAGAAAGGAATGCAGAGTGGAGCAGACCCGGCAACCAGCAGCCACCCAGAACTGAAGGATTTGTGGAGAAGCCCCTATATGGTTCTGTTTGACAGAGAGATGGAGATGGAGACTGGGTTTGCTCCTTGTTTGGTGAGCTGGTGGGAGGAGACAGGCTATATAGTCAGAGAATATGCCATTTCTCAGTGCACCATCCCAGGACGGCACGCCCTGAGCTGAGAAGGGTAAGTGGCATTAAATCCAGAATAGAGTGAAGAACATGGAAACTGTTAAGAATTGGGGAAGCTCTTCAGAGGTGTCTCCATATAGAACAGAATCTGTCTCAGCTGCATAATACAGTTAATAGGTTTTGCTCTTGGTTCAGAAGAAAGAAGCACAATTCCTCCACAGCCCCAGGCTCTGCAGATTTACCTGGAAGTAACTCTGACTGAACTCCATAGAGATGATTCCCTGCATTAGATATCTAATCCAGGGAAACTCATGTCTGAGTAAATATGCAAGGTACATAAGATTGTGTGGATTGGCACCACTTGAATAACTATTTTTTAAGATTTAAGTACTCTCCAAATTGTTTTCTTCTGCTGAAACCAGTGAGGTTGAAAGAAGATTTACTAGATTTGATTCTGCATCTGTCTTATTTCCATCCTTTACTTCCAGATAAAATTGCAGAGATAAAATAGCTATAGGGTTAACAGGTTAACTGAATTTTCTGTACAGCTTTCCATCTGTTTCTGTAATATGATCTTTTGTTTTACATTGCTCTTTGTGTGTGTCATCCTAATGGACAGCTCCCTGCTCATGACTTGTTGCAGTTCAAGCTGTAACTACGAATCATGAATTCAGTTTATTGCAGAGGTATAATTTATAATGGTGCTATCTATTTTTGGTAGCTTCTTTTTCAAACCTTCATTTGCATTCCTACATCTCAAACAAACCAGAAGCTCAGGATCTAAGCATATATAGCAGTTGGCAGTTGCATTACGAAGAAGGCATGGGCTAACTTTGATTTCACTTGCTTCAAGGGCCTGTGTAAGTAACAACCTGTGTTTGGCTTGATGTTTATTTTCTATGGACATGCCTGCTGTACTATTTAAGTATGAGAATAGAAGCCATGTTTACTATCCTAAGGTGAGAGTTCACCAGAAGTAAACATACCATCACCCTATTACTGTTTCAAGACAGCTAAGATTAATTCTGAGCAGTAAATGCTGCAAAAATTAAATTAAATTAGGATGCTTATACCGGTAGCTATCTACCAAATGCAAAAGTCTGGCATGATCCAGGACAGACACTTTTCCTATTTGCTTTTAGTAGATTCAAAAGTAATCTCCCTCAAACTGGAGAGAGAGGGGGGGAGGGGGAGAGAGAGGGGGAGATGGAGAGAGGGGGGGGGTAGAGAGACACACAGAAGAGACAGAGACAGAGACAGAAAGAGAGAGAAGGAATTTGCAATGGATGTATATGGAGCATTGTTCCTCTATATCAGGTTCCCAACCAGGGGTTTTCGCCCCCCCCCCGGGGGTGCGAGAAGATATTCCAGGGGATGAGAAAATTTGGGTTTTCAAAATTATAGTATATATGCATAATTCGTTGCTGTTATTTTGAACTTTTGTAAGGGGTGCGAGAATATATCAGAAACATTCTACGGGTGCGGGGTATAGAAAAGGTTGGGAACCACTGCTTTCTATCCTATTAATCCAAATACAGAAATATATGAAGAAGAGAAATGTCATTTGTCTCAGTGATACAATATTTGATATGTATTTCATTAAACTTCCTATTGTTTTAATTTACATGCTTTTGGTAAATTGGGCATATCTGTAACATACTTGATATTTTTATTTGCAGCATTATTTAACTATAACAAAATTATTATAAATAATAATTAATAATACTAGGAATAGTATAGGAGTTGCGGTTCAGTGAAGCAAGAGGTAGTGGTATTTATCTTTGTTTATGTTCGTTTAGATGTTATTCTTTCTTCATTGTCTGGCTTCATTTGATATCTTAAAGATTGGCTTCACACGTGGTAAAATGTAAAGCTATAACGTGGCTTGTAAGCTTTAGGTTTGTCTAACATGTTATGTGAACTCCATTACTGAGATCTGCAAGCCATGATAAGTTATACTTTTGATAATAATGGATTATTAGTAATGAGCCATAGCTTCCACATAATAACCCTGGATTTACAGTCACTGCAAACAAATTGTTTTATTGTCTAGCAGTCTGTTGGTCTATGACTGAATAAAGATTGATTGATTGGCTGATTGATTGATTGCCAAGCAAACTGTATGAACACCATTTATGTCAGGATAACACAAAACACAGAACCTTCCCCATGATTTTTGCACAATTATTGTCCAATGGACAACACTTCAGATATTAAACCTGAATTCATATTATTCCTCTTATTCTAGAATTGCTTTTTTGGTGTGTTTTTTAACTGTTTCAGTGTAGATTTTCAGTTATATTGCTCTATTATATGTTTCGTTCTGATGCAACTTGTTTGCTGGAAAGTGCCATTGTTGCTATTATTATTGTTGTTATTAGTCCCAGTAAGAAATGCCTTAGAATGATCAGATTTGGGTTCCAAAAAGCAGAAGATCATGAGAGAGGGGAACCCTCCCCAGAAAAGTCTAATTATTTTCTGGCTTTTAGTAGCTATTCAGATGTTTGCAGCTCAGCTGTGGTAATCCTATTGATGACAATCAATGAATTTATAATAATTTGTCTTTGTTGTTGTATACCATGACTGCTGGTGTGCTGAAATTGTGCTTAACTTTGTTTATAAATAAAATAATTATTTGCAGAGCTTATGCAGGGCACACATACATGTTTTCAGGTTTAGTGCTGAGTTCTGGGCTCTGCAAGTTACTGTGAGCCTCCTAGAGCTTTAAATGACTGCTTGTCTGGCTTTAAAATCTTGCCTTAAATGTTTGGTTTCCCTGATTTTCCCTGAGCTCGCGTAGTTACTAAATATGGTTTTTATTTAGAGTTCCCCATGCTCAAGTAGAAATTCAGCATTCCCTTCTTCCCCCTCCCTTTAAGGATATTATTTCCCTTTTTGGCTCAGTTGAGTAAAGTTTGAGGCAAGGAACCCTTGACCTTTCCTGCTCTGTTCCAAAAACAGGCTTTTAAAAGGCTTTGTTTCCTAATTAGGAAATAGTTTGTTCCCAATCAGTCAGACATTTTCAGCATAGGTGCAGATTCTGTGTTTTTAGCAAATGTTTATCTATAAATGAATAATCTTTATAAAATGCATTTTTGCAGCATTCCTTTGAAAAATTCTCTTTTTTCTCTTTCTTTCTTTCTTTCTTTCTTTCTTTCTTTCTTTCTTTCTTTCTTTCTTTCTTTCTTTCTTTTTCTTTCTTTCTTATTTTGTCCAAGAATTTATCCTGAACTACAGTATACATTCTTATTCTATTTCATCCTCTCAAAAAAGTAATGGTGAATAAAAAGCAATTTTACTACAGAATATTCAACACGGGATTTCTTTACACATTACTTTTGAGAAGTGTGTCCCCTGCAAATATGACAAATAATTACTTGCAAATGTTAGATTTTTGCTAACATGTCCATAAACTGAGCTCATACTGATTCACTTGTCCCATTGTTTATATTCAATGTTTATATTCCATTCATAAATGTGTATTTCTTACCTCCTGGCTGAGAAAACATTTATATCTGGTTCTCTCGCACAATTAAAGTAACATATTCAACACATTTCAGGATCCTAAGCAGTATGAGAACTGAGTGTTATAATATAGAAATTTTGTTTTGTTGGGAAACACATTGGAATCTCATCACTTGTCCGTGAATCTTTGAGGGAAGAAAAAGCAGTAAAAATAAGGTATCACAAACCTGTCCATGTGCCCCCGTTTTCTGCATTCCAATCTGTGTCCTTTCCTTCAGATGCAATTCAGTGAAATCCTCCCACCTTCGAATTTTCACATCACATCTAATGTGGGAAATCCAACCATTAAAATCAATGTATGTGCATTTGATAGCCAATTATCTTTTTAGTCGATTATGGTGATCAGCCTATCCCACTTTTGGTTTTTTTTTTTTTTTAGTTATTTCTTTTAAATGCTAAACATGAAAAACTCAAGAAAAATAAAGCCAAAAATCTTAACTGCCTAGATCTCTGACTTTTGAGATGTGTTATCCACGTATTATAAATCACAACTAAATGATTGTGTGATATCCTGCCTGTGATTATGGAGAAGGCCAGAGATTTTATTTCAGCGACAGTCTCATTATGTTGGCTATGATCTGACAATCTACTTTTCTCACAGTATTTTTAATTACGTGCCCATCCATTATTCTTTTTTTGGGATAATGCAGGAAACATGTAATAAGTAGTAAGCTGATGAAATTAGAAGCAACCATGGCATTATTAGTGGTTTTTTTTAAAAAGGATGAAAGGGAGAGAGAGAAGAATGAAATGTAATACCATCAGTTACCTGGAAGAAATTATATCTCTGTCTTTCTCATCAAAATGCAACAATGAGAAATGTATATATTGTAGAACAAAAGTTGAAATGATCAGGAAAGATAATTTTCTGCACTTAGAAACCACGTTCTGTTCTTTTTTCTGCAAGTTTTGAAAACCAGACCTTAAAGATGCACTTTATTTATTCTGCTTCTTAAAATAAGGGAGGCTTGGTTTAGATTAAGGTGCTAACAAACTGCAGGGGAAGTTTTAATTCTTTTTAATATGCTGTCCATTTTTGAATCCCCACACCTGGCCTTTACATTGGAACCATCACCATTTCATTTTTTTAAACATTGCCTTTACTATTTTTATAAAGAAAGCAATGAATATACCTAATATTCCTTTCTCCTTCTATTTTCTCCACAACAGCAATCTTATGAGGTGGGTTAAGCCGAGAGAGGGGCTGGCCTAAAGTCACCGTGCTGGCTTTCTTGCCTAAGATGGAACTAGAGCTCAGAGTCTCATGGTTTCTAGCCTGGTGCCTTAACCACCAGACCAGGGGTCTCCAACCTCCGGTCTGTGGACCAGTACCGGGCCACGGCATGCCAACAACCGGTCTACTACAAACAAGCAAAGCCCCATCCGCAAGATGCAGGCAGCACACAAAACCACTCCCCTTCTGGTCCACGGAAAAACCTCTCTTCACGGAACTGGTCTGTGGTGCCCCAAAAGTTGGGGACTTCTGCACTAGACCAAACTGTCCAAAACGTGCAGCTTTAGCATCAGGGTAATTGGTTTTTCATTGCTGAGGTTACCTTATTTAGGTTGCAAAAATCAAGATTAACCAAAGATCTAAAGTGGTCTAAATCTCTTTGCTGCCATCTTGTGGTCATCTGGATTTCTGCAGACTAGGTATAAAGGCTTGTTTATGCTTGAACTCAGATTCATTCACTGAGTAAAGAGTAGAACTAATTTTAAGTTAGGCAGGTGAAACTTCCAAAGTTTTCTGAACTACATCTCCTAACATCTAGCTTTTCCAGCTAGAATTAATCAGATTGCATTTAGGAATATTGATACTGTCCCAAGTGCTTTACCTCTGCTTTAAGCTAGGAAATGATGGTTTTCTGACAGTTAAAAAGAGGAAGTTTAAACAATTCCTTCATTGCTCTTTGCTTTCCCTATGTCTATTCAAACAGTAAGTGAAGTCACGCTACATGTTTTAACTCACCTTCTGCTGTCCTTTATTGACTGGTAATGTTGGATATTTGCATTGGATCTGCTCCCTTCTCTTTTTAGGACAATACCTGTGTGGAAAGTCTCAGAAAGTGACTGCAGAAGATGTGTGAGGAAGAGGACAGTACGGCACTGGTTTGCGATAATGGCTCTGGCCTATGTAAGGCAGGCTTTGCTGGTGATGATGCTCCCAGGGCTGTCTTCCCATCCATCGTAGGACGTCCAAGGCATCAGGTGAATGAACAATTCAGTTGCTTAGCAAAGAAATAAAAAGATTTACTTGAAGTGAAACTATGGAAAACTTGTAAACACACTCAACTCCATGACATAGTCCTCATGTGATTTATCTTAGATTAGTGCAGTTGATATAAAGAGGACTTTTCACTCAGATCCTTGAACAGATGTCTTAGAAATCAATCATTTTTCACAGGAAATTGGCAATCTCTTTTAACTTCTTCTTCAGAAAAGATCGTTGTTGCTTTTGATTACAAATAACAAATATATTTTAAGTAGTATAAAGGGAGATGAATATTCTGTTTTCTGCTTGGTTCAGCATTGAAGAAGCAGCAGTAATAAACAGGTACTTCTTTATGGAAGGTCAAAACAGAAACTAACAAGCCTGGCTCCGCCTCTATTTATACATTCAGCTTTGGGTGCTGTCAGCCAATGAATGCACGTGGTCTGCTAATGGTCCTTGCACAGATCTCTGCAGCTTTTCCATAAGTTTAACACAATACATTACAGGGAAATACACACAAATGGTGGTAAAGACGGGTTTTAGGATTGCCAGGAAATGAAATATAAAATATCAGCAAATCTGATAAAAGTACATAATTCCCATTTCTAAACATGTGTCAGATGTTATATTTCAATGTCATTGTTGGTGAAGACTCTGAAGCTGCTGAACTTCTTAACAAACTACATGAGACACATGTTGGATACATCATCCCTATCCACCAAATTACCTAGAACTAAGGAGAAATTTCCTAACAGTGAGGAGAAGTAACTAGTGGAACAGCTTGCCTTCAGAAATCATGGGCGCTCTCTATCACTAGATGGCTCTCTGCTTATTTTACTTCAGTGAATTGTTTTTATTGCCTTCTTCAGCCAAAAGGGAGTTCCAGAGTAACTTATGTTGCACTTGAGGAGAAGATTGATAACCCTCTGCAGGACTGACTATTTTAATGACACGTTACAGGAGAAATGAAAAGAAGAGAGGAAAGAGGAAAGCAAGATCAAATCTTGAGTTTAATTCTAAGTATTACAAAATAATTTGCTGGATGCAGTTCAGTAGAGAACCCCTATGCAGCTACTTATTTAACTGGCCCAATTGAATGGTTCTCTTTTTCTCTATATTTGCTGTCTAGTGACAGTTCAAGGAGGACCCTGATGGGCTGAATGTAAACTGAATTGATTGCTAAAATAGTAGTGAGTAATCCATATTGGATTTCAGATTGCAAGGCCCACAAGAATCTAAAGAGCACTTCTAGCTTCTAGTAAATGGAGTGGGGAAAGCATTTATTCAAGAAAGCTATTATTGAAGATATCTCAGATTACATTAGGCTAAACGATTAGTGCTGTTGTGATCCATTGCAGTGCAACTTAACATGCTAAGCTTGTGTAGGATCCTTGAAAAAAATATTATGTTCCTATATGCTGTGTTTGGCTATTGTGCTAGTGAGGCATCCTTGGTTTTGGTTTGGGTGTTATGTGCACCTAAACAATTATGTCACTCAAGGAATTAAAAAGCCATGGCTTAATGTGAGTGAGAACTGGATCATAACTACACTCTGGAGAAAAGCAACGCTATGAAATGATGATAATTTTGGTTTGCTTCTAAGCCAGATGGAATCATGAATCGTTTCCCATTTTTAATTTTTAGGGTGTGATGGTAGGCATGGGACAAAAAGACAGCTATGTAGGAGATGAAGCTCAAAGCAAGAGAGGAATCCTGACACTGAAATACCCCATAGAACATGGCATCATCACAAACTGGGACGATATGGAGAAGGTATTTGATAGTGTGTGAGATTTAATGTTATATATCAGAGATAGCTTCATATTATGTCTTAACTTTTACTATTTTATTATATATCATCAATGGCAAAAATGTTTTTTTTAATTTTGGAGCCCCATTTATTTATATTTGATGATGGGTTCTTTTTTTTCATTTTCTGGAAATTCAAAATGCATTATCTTGTCCTTGGATTTCTGATTAATTGTCCAAGGTGTGGGATTGAGTTAGAGATGTTTCTCATAATGCTAATAATTCATTTGTCATTTATTCCAGATTTGGCATCATTCATTCTATAATGAGCTTCGTGTGGCTCCTGAAGAACATCCAACCTTGCTTACAGAGGCACCTTTGAATCCAAAGGCTAATCGAGAAAAAATGACACAGGTGACTGGTGTACAGTATGGCCCTTATGTCAGAGTGGTAGTTCCACCCTGTATGTCTGTGAAATGTGATCCCTGTTTATATTTTTGAAGAGAAGAATGGAGCCTTCCTCCCTCCCTCCCTCCCTCCCTCCCTCTCCCTCCCTCCCTCAGTATTTACACAACCCTGTACTCCTCCTGAAATTCTCTTTCAGTTTTCAATTATTTGTTTATGAAGCAGATCAAACAAGAGATCATTTCTTCCATTCATAATTTTTTATTTTTGCTCAGGCAAATTAATTTCTCACAAACTAGATTTGGGTGCAATTCAGATGCTATGTTTGGGTCTTAATCAGTATGCATAGTTCGGATGTCATCTGGGCATCCTTGTTGCTTGTGAATAAGCTTCACATATTTCTTTTACTGTAATTTTATCAGTCTGCACAATTCTGACCCAGTAAGTCAAAGAATGACCCCCAGCCTCATCAATCAGAGATGGACAATCAATTGGCTCCATGTAGCCCACAAAGCTTTCAAGATAATTGGTGGTGTGATTATCCAGCGGAAAATTTAAGAAGGCCTAACACTCCTTTAAAAGTGAAATAGTCAAACATGTATGAATATATTTATTTTTTATTTTCATCTAATTGTTTACTGTATATTTCCTATTTCTAAACTGCCCATCTCCCTCAGAGATTGAGAATGGCCTTATTGGTACATCTCAGTAATTGTATAGAACTGTGGAATTATGGGAGGTGTAGTTCTATACCTGTAATAAGCATCGATTGTCAGTGACCTACCTATTAAATGCAGTCACAAAAATATTTTATAACATTGTAAGCCAATGTCTAGTTTAGAAAAATGGCCTACAGATATTCAAATTAAAATAAGTCAAGGGAGGGATTTATTTATTTTTCTATTATTTTCAGATTATGTTTGAGACATTCAATGTCCCAGCCATGTATGTTGCTATTCAGGCTGTTCTGTCTCTCTATGCCTCTGGACGTACAACAGGTAAGAATGAGAAACTGCACTGGATTTTCAGAACACGAATGAGAGTGAGTTAACTTGAAGGCAATCAAAACCTGTTTTGTGTTACTTCAAGGGATTGTGCTCGACTCTGGTGATGGTGTCACCCACAATGTGCCAATCTATGAAGGCTATGCTCTGCCCCATGCCATCATGCGCCTGGACCTGGCTGGCCGTGATCTTACTGACTACCTCATGAAAATCTTGACAGAACGTGGCTACTCATTTGTTACTACTGGTAAGGAAATTCCATATGACCTTCACTGACTCAGAGCTTTATATGCTCCTAGCTTATGTATAAAACACATTACTTTCAAATATTCTCACAAGGAATCCAATTTTCATATTTTTGGGATGTAAAATTTGGTATACATTGTCAATATTTCAAAAGACCAATCTAAAGTAGAGACTATGTTCAAATGGACTGTTGTTGAAAGAATACAGATTACTAAACTGGTTCATTGCATATAGAGCATCTATATTTGATGCCAAATTCTCTTAGATGAAAATGTGTTGTCTTTTATAATGTTTTCCTGACAAGGCCATAGCTAGTTTCTCAGAAACCTCAGGAAAAACTCCTACTTACAGTTTGAAAAAAGTGGAGCAGAAATTGGCACCTATCCAGATGCAATAACTTATTTTGTGCAAAGAGCAATTCAAATTATAGTTTGGCACTGCATGAGAAATTGCATTGCGTTGCTAAGTTTCCTTACATCTGAATCATTGTCTGCTATTTTATACTATAGACTAGAGGTCCCCAACCTTTTGGGCACCAAGGACCGGTTCCATGGAGAGAGGTTTTTCCACGGACTAGAGGGTGCATGGTTTTGTGTGCTGCCTGCATTCTATGGATGGGGCTTTGCTTGTTTGTGCAGACTGGTTGGTGGCATGCTGAGGCCCGATACTGGTACATGGACCAGGGGTTGGGGACCTCTGCTATAGACAATCCCTGTTGCATCTTATAGGCTCTGAACTAGGGATCCTTGTTTATTGAGGACTGTAATCAATAGTGTCTATCCTAGTAAGATGGATTCCTTATTATCCTTGCATTTCTGCATACCAGTTTCAGAGCTTTGGAGAACCTCATAGAGCAATCTGGTGCTTCAAGGGACTGGAGAAGGAAAAAGAAGAAGGAGAATTCCATCACACAGGATGTTGCTCCCATTAGCCCTGCAATTAGGAAGTCTTTAGTGCATAGGGTAGTATATGCAATTATATAAGCTTCCCACCCCCCAAAAGCTCAATGAAAATACTGCTTAAATTTAAATTCAAATATTTAAAATTTGATGGGATTGTTTTCCTTTTAAATATTGAAATTGAAACCCTGGGTAGGAGAAGGAGTGGTAGAACCTAGGGGCAGAGATAAAAGAAGGATCAGCCTAGAATCCCTATGTAGCCACAAGTTCAACCCTCCTTGAATTCTGTGAACCCTTATTTAACTCCAAGCAGGTGCTAACCTTTAGTTGAGAAGATTCCTGTGCATAGGTTGTTTAACAATAAATCAGTTGAATTGTACCTTCACTTATGGACCTGGTCTTTCAGTCCTGACTCTGTGATTGCAGTATGATAGCAAACAAATAGTAGCACAAGTTTGGTTTTTCAAATCACCAGTTTCTGAAGTTAGACAAGCTCATTTATAATGATTAATTTTGACAAATTAAAGGAAAACAAAATTAAAAATGTTTGGCAAATTCAGAACATTTGCTGGGTAATATATTTATGATAAAAATGCTGAATGTTGATTTAGTTTGCTTAGTTTCAGTCAGCATAAATATCAATTTCAGTCAACAAACGCCACAAGTCTGCATTTCTCCTTGTATCTGATGGACCAATAGTTCATGTAGACAAATGAAATTTCATCCACAGCTGAGCGTGAAATTGTCCGCGACATCAAGGAGAAACTCTGTTATGTTGCCTTGGATTTTGAAAACGAGATGGCCACTGCTGCTTCTTCATCATCCCTAGAGAAAAGCTATGAGTTGCCTGATGGTCAGGTGATTACTATAGGGAATGAGCGTTTCCGCTGCCCAGAGACCCTCTTTCAACCATCTTTCATTGGTAAGTTGAAATATATACATAATGTTATGCTTTGAGTTAGTTTTGGTTCCCTGGTGACTGCCTAGACTAGTCCCTGAAGTTTTCTTGCCAAGGTTTTTTGGAAGTGGTTTCTACTACTGAGAGAAAATGGCCCAACATCACCCAGTTGGCTCCTGGGAATAAGGCAGGACTAGAACTCACAATCTGTTTGTTTCTAGCCTCGCATCTCAACCCACTACACCATATAGATCTACACAATATCTATATCTATCATCTGTGTCTCTCTGTGTCTGTGTCTGTCTGTCCGTCCGTCCGTCTGTCCGTCCGTCCATCCATCCATCCATCCACTCATCCATCCATCCATTATCATGCCGTGTCATTTTACTGGATTGCCTTTTGACATCTATAAAAAAGCCAATTTCTGGTACTCAGCATTCTTAAATGTATAAATCTACCTGTAGTTTTCATGCAATTTTATTTCTGATTCTGTTTGCTATATTTGTAAAAGGTTATAAATACTTTCAACATTTGAAGGTGGTAAATCAAAACATTTAACAGGTTTAATTCCTTATTTAAAAATATTGTAACAAGTGTTCCTTATGAAATCCTCATCAGGCATGGAATCTGCCGGCATTCATGAAACTACCTACAACAGCATCATGAAGTGTGACATAGACATCAGAAAAGACCTTTATGCAAACAATGTCCTATCTGGTGGGACCACCATGTATCCTGGCATTGCAGATCGTATGCAAAAGGAAATCACTGCCCTGGCTCCCAGCACTATGAAAATAAAGGTATTGTTTTATTGATCACTGCATAATTCACAGTGCCAGAGATGGCTTTGTTTACATGATATGTCACGACTCCTAGAGATGAGCAATCTGCTATGTACCAGATGTTGGTGAGCTGCAGCTCTGAGCATTTTCACTACTAGCCATGCTGATAGGATTGCTGAGAATTGCAGTTCAGCAATATTTGGGAGTCATTACTGAGTTGAAGGCACAAAAAAAATCCTAAACCAATCATTTTCTTAATTCTGCACCTGAATTAGGAATGCCTATAGGAAATGTATTTTTTGTTTGATTTGATTTGATAATTTAAAATTATTTTTACTTTTCTTTGGCTGGGATACTTTCATCTTACTTTGCCTTGGGAAAATTGGATCTTCAGCATGAGATGGACTTTATCTCACAGTAGCCATATGCAGCAACAGGCAATCAAATACAAGACAATGAAAACACTAAAAAAATGCAGTGCAAAGCACTAACACTCCAGCAAAAGGAATCTGAATGAAAATAAATGTGAAGGAATAATACATTGAAATAAATTTGGATTTAACTTAATATTTTAAAAATCAAAAGTAAGCATCAATGGGATTTTGTTTTTAATCATTTCTTTGGGATAAATTAAATCCTAATCCGAATTCCTTAGTTGAAGAGTTGAAGATATTGAAAGAAAGTTCCCATAAGGAGATTCATCACATCAGTAGTGACTGGATTTTACTTGCCAGTATCATTTTTAAGTACCTATCATGTTTCTTTATCACAGTGAATCTCATGAAAAAGGTTCCTATTTTCACACAGAATTTTCATAGAATTGCTTTGCTGTTAAAAATTCAACCAGAGTAGATAGCTTCTGCAAGAATCGAAAGTAATTGAATATACAGACCATTTTTCTGTCCAAAATGATTTGTGTAATCTCACCCTCAGATGGGGAACAACATCAAGAATAAACACACTTGCTTGGGTTAGGTACATAACTATATACAGATATGAAGTCTCTGTTACCGGTTGCTTTCTGTGAAAAACATTATCTACATGATTTGTAATATCACTGTTCGAAGTGGTTTAATTAGATCTGTTCAATCCTTTTTTCTTCAGATTATTGCTCCACCTGAGCGCAAGTATTCGGTCTGGATTGGAGGATCTATTCTTGCTTCTCTTTCTACCTTCCAACAGATGTGGATCAGCAAACCAGAGTATGATGAAGCTGGCCCATCCATTGTTCACCGCAAATGCTTCTGAGTTGCTTCCCCTTCTGTGAAAAATATTCTTATTAGCCTACCCCAAATTCCTTTCTTTCAATTAGCTGGATTTCCAATAAGATGTATTTGAAGTTTTCAGGGGGCAGAGGAGGAAAGAATTGTAAACATGCTTGTCAGGTGCTTTGAATTTTTATTAATAAACCTCAACTTTTTCATACTCTACTTGGAGTAAATAGTATTCCTTCTCCTCTGGAAGAAGAGTGAGACATGGCAGATCAACATTATACTAGTCAATATTTGCATTAAAGTTCTACGGATAGTGGAAAAAGTGAACCTTGATGATTAAAGGAAGTTTGTGCTTATTTTAATCATCCACTGGAGAACACACAAAGATAGCAGCCATTTTTACATTTAAGACTTAGATGGACACATTGTAATTTATGCATGAGTAGAATTGTTTGCCATTCCTCTCTAATCCTCTGGTTATTTCTAGTTTTCAGTCCTCCATGCCCTCTGACTTCTACTTGTTACTCAGAAAAATCGGAATTATTTTAAGATTCTTTCTTCTACAGTGAATTTATAGGGAGGCAACACTGACTGTTTAATAATGCAGTAGCAGCTGTTTGGAACTGAAGCTAATTGAATAGAAGGAATTAGTGTTTGTGAGTTCACACATTCATAGTTCACTTTATTATTTGAGCACAGTCTTTCTGTGTGTTTCTCAGAAGAATCTGCTTGCTCCTGTTGGCTATTCTGTTCTTTCTTTCATATTTCCTATTCTATTTTATAGCTACTGTATTTTTAAACATGCTGTAAACATTCACATGTCCCACTTAGACACTCTGAATACCTGTAGGGCAGGAAAACAATAATATATACTCCAGATGGGGGAGGGAAGATAAAAATTTTGCAAAGGGGTCAAAGACTGTCATTATGTCAAGTTCACTTTATTGTCATATTATTCCAATAAAATAACATACCCGGATTGAATGCCACTGTGAGCTTCATTTTGACCGTACAACGAAATAACTTCAGAATGAGAAAAGGGCAATAAATATCAAATTGTTAAATTCAAAACATACAAATATAAAATGTCAGTAAGTTGGAAAACACTAGGAAAACCTGGCAGCCTTGTTTTCCTTTGGCCTTATGTTTTACCGAAGGTATTCTTCTATCTTTATCACCTTAGATCCAGCACAGTTATTTTTATCTCTTTTTCAGTGACATGTTTGCAGATCTGCAAAAGGAAACAGCAGATTAATCTTAGATTATCTGTCATTAAGCAGCTGCTGCAAAATTAAATAATTTAAATCTGCAACAATTTAAGGGAAATGTGGATTTATTTTACTGGGATATTCATCTAAGGCTGCTATCCAACTGCAACACATTCTCAAACAATCATGCTCTGTTATTCCTTCCTTTGGAGAAGATAAAGATTTCGTTGAATTAAGGTGGACTCCTAGTGATTTCATTCACACATCTATATAATTTTCTTATTGGCTTCTGGGATTTTTTTTAATGCAACTTGATAAACTGAAATATCCTGGAAACTTTCTGTTCAAGGTCTAACTTGGTTTATTTCTTGAGATATTAAAAGCCAACATTATTTAGGTGATCCACTGGAGAAGGAAATGGCAAACCACTCCAGTATCTTTGCCATGAAAACCCCATGGACAGTACTAAAAGGAAAAAAGATATGACGCTGGAAGATGAGCCCCTCAGGTCGGAAGGTGTCCAATATGCTACTGGGGAAGAGCAGAGGGCTAGTACTAGTAGCGCCAGAAAGAATGAAGCGACTGGGCCAAAGCCGAAAGGACGCTCAGCTGTGGATATATCTGGTGGTGAAAGGAAAGTCCGATGCTGTAAAGATTTTTTCTCCATAGGAACCTGGAATGTAAGATCCATGAATCAAGGCAAGCTAGACGTAGTCAAAAAAGAGATGACAAGAATGAACATCGACATCTTAGGAATCAGCGAACTAAAATGGACAGGAATGGGTGAATTTAACTCAGATGACCATCAGGTATACTACTGTGGGCAAGAATCCCTCAGAAGAAATGGAGTAGCCTTCATAGTCAATAAAAGAATAGGAAAAGCAATACTGGGATACAATCCCCAAAATGACAGAATGATCTCAATTCGAATCCAAGGCAAACCATTCAATATCACAGTAGTCCAAATCTATGCCCCAACCACTGGTGCTGAAGAGGATGAAATTGACCGGTTCTATGAAGCCCTACAGCACCTTATAGAATTAACACCAAAAAATGATGTCCTTATCATCATGGGGGATTGGAATGCTAAGGTAGGAAGCCAAAAGATAACCGGAATAACAGGCAAGTTTGGCCTTGGAGAACAAAATGAAGCAGGGCACAGGCTAATAGAATTTTGTCAAGAGAATACGATGGTCATAACAAACACTCTTTTCCAACAACCCAAGAGACGGCTCTACACATGGACATCACCAGACGGTCAACATAGAAATCAGATTGACTATGTGCTCTGCAGCCAAAGATGGAGAAGCTCTATACAGTCAGTAAAAACAAGACCAGGAGCTGACTGTGGCTCAGATCATGAGCTTCTCGTTGCAAAATTTAGGCTTAAATTGAAAAAAGTAGGGAAAAGCACTAGGCCACTCAGGTATGAACTAAATCATATTCCTGATGAATATACAGTAGAGGTGACAAATAGATTTAAGGAACTGGATCTGATAGACAGAGTGCCTGAAGAACTATGGATGGAAGTTCGCAACATTGTACAAGAGGTAGCAACTAAAACCATCCCAAAGAAAAAGAAATGCAAGAAAGCAAAATGGCTGTCTCAGGAAGCTTTGCAAATAGCTGAGGAAAGAAGGGAAGCGAAAGGCAAAGGAGAAAGAGAAAGATACACCCAATTGAATGCAGAATTCCAGAGAGTAGCTAGAAGAGATAAGAATGCCTTCTTAAATGAACAGTGCAAAGAAATAGAAGAAAACAACAGAATAGGGAGGACCAGAGATCTCTTCAAGAAAATTGGAGATATGAAGGGAACGTTTCATGCAAAGATGGGCATGATAAAGGACCAAAATGGCAGAGACCTAACAGAGGCAGAAGAGATTAAGAAGAGATGGCAAAACTACACAGAAGAACTATACAAGAATGAGCTTAACATCCCAGATAACCACAATGAGATGGTCACTGACCTCGAACCAGACATCCTAGAATGTGAAGTGAAATGGGCCTTAGAAAATCTGAGCAACAACAAAGCTAGTGGAGGTGACAGTATTCCAGCTGAGCTATTCAAAATCTTAAAAGACGATGCAGTAAAAGTGCTACACTCAATTTGCCAGCAAATTTGGAAAACTCAACAGTGGCCACAGGATTGGAAAAGGTCAGTTTACATTCCAATTCCAAAGAAAGGCAATGCCAAAGAATGTTCAAACTATCGCACCATTGCACTCATTTCACATGCTAGTAAAGTTATGCTTAAAATCCTACAAGCTAGACTCCAGCAGTATGTGGATCGAGAACTACCAGAAGTACAGGCAGGATTTCGAAGAGGCAGAGGAACTAGAGATCAAATTGCCAACATACGCTGGATCATGGAGAAAGCTAGGGAGTTCCAGAAAAACATCTACTTCTGCTTCATTGACTATGCAAAAGCCTTTGATTGTGTGGATCACAACAAATTGTGGCAAGTTCTTAAAGAGATGGGAGTACCAGACCATCTCATTTGTCTCTTGAGAAACCTATATGCGGGTCAAGAAGCAACAGTGAGAACCGAACACGGAACCACTGATTGGTTCAAAATTGGAAAAGGAGTCCGGCAAGGCTGTATACTGTCGCCCTGCCTATTTAACTTATATGCAGAGCACATCATGAGAAAGGCAGGGCTAGATGAATCAAAAGTTGGAATTAAGATTGCCGGGAGAAATATCAACAACCTAAGATATGCAGATGATACCACTCTAATGGCAGAAAGTGAAGAGAAACTAAAGAGCCTCTTGATGCGGGTGAAGAAGGAGAGTGCAAAAGTTGGCTTGAAACTCAACATTAAGAAAACCAAAATCATGGCATCCGGCCCTCTTAATTCCTGGCAAATAGATGGGGAAGAAATGGAGGTAGTGACAGATTTTATTTTTCTGGGCTCAAAGATCACCTCAGATGGGGATTGCAGCCAAGAAATTAAAAGACGCTTGCTCCTGGGGAGGAAAGCTATGGCAAATCTAGACAGCATTCTAAAAAGCAGAGACATCACCCTGCCAACAAAAGTGCGCATAGTCCAGGCCATGATTTTCCCAGTTGCAATGTATGGCTGTGAAAGTTGGACCATAAGAAAGGCTGAGCGCAAAAGAATTGAGGCCTTTGAACTGTGGTGCTGGAGAAGACTCCTGCGAGTCCCTTGGACTGCAAGGCGTTCAAACCGGTCGGTCCTAGAAGAGATCAACCCCGACTGCTCTTTAGAAGGCCAGATCCTGAAGTTGAAACTCAAGTACTTTGGCCACCTAATGAGAAGGAAGGATTCACTGGAGAAGAGCCTAATGCTGGGAAAGATTGAGGGCAATAGAAGAAGGGGACGACAGAGAATGAGATGGCTGGATGGAGTCACTGAAGCAGTAGGTGTGAATTTAAATGGACTCCAGAAGATGGTAGAGGACAGGAAGACCTGGAGGAATGTTGTCCATGGGGTCGCGATGGGTCGGACACGACTTCGCAATTAACAACAACAATTAACAACAACATTATTTAGGTACTGCTACCTACTTCCAAGATTTCTGATCAGTGTAAACCTAACTATATTGCTCATCTGGTTTGGTGGTATCCATGATTTAACAGACCTAATTCTTCTGATTATCTTTCTCCATAAAAACCCCTGAGGATGCTGGGAGGTAGGAAGGTTTATCATCTATAAGAAAGGTAATTTACTTTTTTTTGTAGGCTAATATAAACAGTTTCATGGGACAAATGGCTATCATCCAATCTTGGTTTCTATGGTAGAAAGAGGAGTAATTTCACTTTGAAAATGGATAAGTATCTATTAAATCTATATCTTTATTATATGGAAATAGACAATCCCTCTCCCCACTCACATTCCAACAATCTGGGGAATTATGTTAGTTTTTAATACAGTTTATCTCTTTCCAGAGACATGTTTACATTTTAATTCTAAACAAATGATTTGACATTTATCTAAAAAATTTAGAGAACATCCATCTCACTCAGAGTGACATTGAGTGGTATATCTTTAACTTTTATGGAAATGTAGAATATGAACAAGACATGAATAGTGAAGAAAAGGCTCTCAGACTATCTTGTTAACAAACTCTGAATTCTACAGACAACAGTGCAAAACATCTGGAAGGTGATGGGTTGGGAACTACAGCTATAGAAAATTAGCAGGTCCCACTTTAATTTCCGCATCCTGTATCTGGCCCTCTGGAAGGGTCTTTTACCCCGTCTATGAGGTAATATTTGCCTTTTAACAGTTTTGCAGAATTTCTAAACTCTTCCCTGCCGGAATGTTTCACTTTGCCCCAGTTTGTAATTTCCCCTTTCTACTCAAATGATCAAATATATTAATGTATGAAATGAACAACCTTCAACACATATCTAAATATTGTTGGACTAATCTCAGTCCTGGTGCCATTCTTTTCAATCTTCCTGCCAAAATATAAATTTGATATTTCTCCAAGCTGTCTGATGACGTGAATTGGACCATCTGGATGCACTAGATTGGAGAAGACAGATTTTAACTTACACTACATTCATATTCCTGCATATTTGAATAGTGGTGCAGTGAATGTACAGAATGTTAAAAATTAACATGCTATCCTTACATTAAATAGCCTAGGATCCTTGGTATGAGGGTGAAAGCCCTTCTTCTTACAAGCAGAAACTTCCAACATGCCAGCATTAGTAAGTCTGAAGATTCCCATCCTAGAAAACAAAAGAAATATTACATCTAAGAAAGCAGCTCTAACCCAACAATTGTCTGTAGCAGATAAGGTTGATCTCAGTTGCACAAAGAATACAAGAGCTTCACAGAATCTGCCTGCAAACTGAACTTGCAACTGGCTGCTAATGGAGAAAAAACATACAGTACTGAGAGAACTCATTTATTCAACAATTCAAGTCATTTTTTGAAAATTACATTAATAAAGAATCACCTTGTTGATAAAGCTGTTCCTACAATATTATGACAGCCAAGCTGTCAACTTTAGAATGAGCATGGCTGCAGCTATTTTTTCCTTCTCATTTCTAGATGACACATAGCACAGATGAAGGGGGGTTGCCAGGTGTTTCACTAGACAAAACAGACTTTCTGTCTCAGACTTTCTCTCATGGGAACTAAGGTCATCAGCTGCTCCCGAGACTGCGGGCGGGGCGTTTCATGAAAAGCCCGCCAACAAGCTGTAGGGGGAAACATAGTTGCTTGCATAGCCTTAGGGGTGGGATTTCTTAACTTTGTATTGGGGAATTATTATGCATCTCTTCAGACATGGTTTTACTTTTGAAGTGCCGATACTTTGTATCAATAAACATGTTCTTTAAGGAATTTGTAAGCTTTGGAATTCTGCTTTCTTTGTCTCTGTCTGTTGTAACCCTGACATTAAACCAAATTTAAACCCTGACACAAGCACTGCCTAATGCTCAGAATAAGATTCCTTCTTATGCTGAGAGGCTTCCTTGCAAAGATAATCTTTTTCTGAATGCAGAGAGTTATTTCTACAGCGCTATTGCATCACACTTGATTTAAATAATTTCTGAAATATTGGGCCAGAGGTCTACAGTATTTTGATTGCTTCCATAAAAATGTTAAAATGACAGGTAAAATCCCCACTTTTGAAAAATCCACAATTTAAAAACCAGCTAAAATAATTATAATTACATGAATTTTAGTTTAATTAATAAAGGCTAAACACATTGCATGTTACATGAAAAAAGTAAATCCCTGGGATTTTTAATGTAAAGGATGTTGATAAATATAAAAAAATACTAGAAAAGACCACAAACATAAAAGAGTCACTACCATTTAATAAAACGTTTCTGGACTATAACAACACAGGTTGGAGCACACAGCAGGATTCATAAAGGGTTCCATGGAAGAGAAGAAAGACTTCTATTAAACCTCTATGTCTATGCAACTACTACTACTATTTTTTTTTTTGAAAGACTAAAAATGTGAGATAAGTAATTTGAGAACCTGAGGGTCAAAAATAAAACTCTGTTAAGATTTAACAAAACAGAGAGCAGCATGGGAAGGGCACAGAAGTAACAAAGGAAGAACATTCAGGAATTAAATTTGATTCTAAAAAATATACCGTATCTATAAAGATTGAAACTCATACAATAAGTATTTTGACATATTTTTTCCCTTGCCTTCTTGAATATTTTACAGGTAACATAGCATATAACACAATAAACCAATTATCTGAATGTAGTTATCTGAGGACGGAAAAGGAAGCTCAGACTCACTCATTATGTTTTGGTGAACAAACAATTGCAATGGCTTCTGGCAGCATCAGCTGATAAGAACAATGTGTATGAAGATCAACACTGGATAAGAATGCAGTCTGGGTTGGATGGGACTGCAGAGAAAGGCAACACTTTATATAGCATATGACTTTTTGTTCTATTTTACAAATACAAAAGAAAGAAGTCAGAATTAGTTGCACCCATCTTTTACTAAATAACAAAGAAATGTTATTTATTTCATCATCTGTCACAGGTTCTTTTAAGTATACCCAAGTCAGTGAGATCCAAAATACAAGATAGCTAACACAACACCACAGGTCCTTAGGCAGTCCACTCACAAACACATGCAGGCTAGTACTTCTTGCTCTTCCCCATTGCTACTGTACCTCCTCTGACTGCTCCTCCAACTATTATTCCTTGTAAGTCTTACTGCTTAAGGACAGTATCTCTATCAGCTTCACACACCTACCTCCTTCTCTCTCTCCCATTCAGAAACACCACCACACTCAGCTGTCTCTCTGCTCAACTTTTATAGCCAGCAGTTGCTGTGCTGTCTACAAAGAGGTCTTAAAGAGACAGTAGTCACAGGTGGTGGCCATTTTGTAGGCATCCTGTCCTCTCATAATATCAAAACAAGTCTCTGGGTAGCTATCGAAAGTTTAAAATGACACACATAATACATAATTGGCAGATGAGATAAAACCAAAACACCATCAATGTCTGCATAACCATCTCACAGGGTCTGCCACATAGCCCAACCACCATCCATGGGGATATAAACATGTCTTCAAGGCCTTAAGAAAGGCCAATAGAGCTGGGACAATCTAATCTCCATGAGGATAATTTTCCAAATAGCCAGCACCATAACAGAAAATGTTTTCTTTACTATTGACCCAGGACAGCTTTCCAAGTTTATTTATTAAACAAATTTAAGCAGCCATCCCACTTGTACACAGTGACTCCAGATGCCATACAACATTATTGTTGTAACTAATAGAGATGTATCTAAATCAGCAAGTCTCAAAGCTACGTTCCAAGACAGTTATCTCACTTTAAAATAACTGGCTGGGATTTAAGGAAAAGGAGGGAGTAAAGCAATCACCAAATTTGAACTTATTTAAATAAAATATTTAAATAGGCCTTAGGAATATTGTTTCTTTAGCAGTGGAATGGAAAATCTTTGACCTAGAGAAGGGTCTTCAAACTTGGCTCTTTTATGACTGACTGAGGAATTCTGGGAGTTGAAGTCCACAAGTCATAAAAGGACCAAATTTGAAGACCCCTGATCTAAAGCACTACGTCCTCCTAACCTGACCTCCTGTCACTCATCCCACAACTCATCTCTTCTTTCTGGAATGAACTTATTTGAACAACACTTTTCAATATAAAACTTTCTCAAGCCTACTTGGATCAAGGGAGACACTTCAGAGTGAAGAAAGGTTTATATATTCCCCCAAATCCAATCTATGTCGTGTGTTAGAATGTACATATGCATGTATGTATGTAAAATGTAAAAAATATGTCTGTGTGAGAGAAAGAAAGCTGATTTAGACTACTACCAGATGGCATGCAGCTCTGAACATTAACTTAAAGAGAACGCAATCTTATACTGGAATTTCCTCTGGCTGCAAGGAATGTCCACTGTCTATCCCAGCATACTTATCTCTACCTACATGGATCCATCCCAGGGTGAGAAGATCATGTTGGTCTTGAACACCGAATAGCTCTTCCACATTCTCCATGTCACAATAGTCTGGTCCTGCAGACTGTTTTGGTACGATTACATGAGTGATAGTGAATTCATTATGAGTCTGTAAAACATAAGCCCAAGAAAATAGCTTAAGGACTTCAATCCCAAGACCACCAGTGGCAGCAACCAAATTTTTAATCATTTATTTTGCAGGAGCTGTGCTCATTTATACCAATCAATACCAAAGAATCATCAAACAACAGGCAAAACAGGGAACCTGGAAGTTCCTGTACTAGGGAGGCTCTTTGTATTACATACAGAAATGTTCAGAGAGAGAAAAAATCAGTCATTGGATTCCCTAGTTCAGTACGGATTGATACCACAAAAGTTTACCGTCCCTAGATCTGGAAATTCCAAGAATAAATCTTATGGCCTAACATAGAACTTTCTTTCTTACTTATTTATATAGTTATAACATACTGTAAATTGCTGAAGTCTCTTAAAGGATATGCATCTATTCTCTTGTAGAGATGGGAGATTTTTTTAAAAAATAAACACTATTATTTTCTTATTATAATTATTTAAATTTCAGTTTCTTGCCCAGAATATATAAGTCTCATAAAAGCTGCTGAATAGTTCAAACTACAAATGCACAAAGTGTTTTCAGGTGAACACTTTTGAATTCAGAATACCTTATGTAAAGCAGCTACCCCAAAATTTAAAGTTGTGCAAAACTCGGTATTTGGTCTGTGCTACCATTTAGTTTTTTTATAAATTACAAAATTGATCTTTGGACATACGGTAGGGCTGTTTTAGTATTGCTATAATCTGAAGCAGCAGCAAAATTCTCAATCTCTTCCTGGACTAAGGAATAATTTAGAACTGCTGCCTCCTTCTGTTCAGATAAGGATAAGGTTATTGACTGTATATAAAAGCCAAATTTATGATCTTTATGAAAGCAGCTCAACACAAAGATATATGACAAAGAATGGGAATAATTAAACAAGTTTAGAGATGTGCAAATTTTTTCATGACTCAAAATCTTGGAGGTTTCAAATGAATCCATCTTGGGGGAAGGCAATTAAATCTTTGACAATATCAAAATTGAGGCCATGATTTGCATTACAGTTACCAATAGCAATAGCACTTAGACTTATATACCACTCCATAGTGGTTCACAGTATTCTCTGGGTGGTTTACAATGTCAGCATATTGCCACCAGCAGTCTGGGACTTCATTTTACTGACCTGGGAAGGATGGAAGCCTGAGTCAACCTTAAGCCCAACAGGATTGAACTCCAGACTGTGGACAGAGTTTGCCTGCAATACAGCTTCTTATGAATGTGTCTGTATGGATTTTGGACTACTAGAGGCTATTCAATTTTTATCCTTCGGAACATTCTCCCTATTCCCAAGATCCAACTAGCCTTTACTTTGGACATAAACTGATAGAAACATGTCTTTTTCAACAGATTAACAGCTATGCTTTTCTTCCTACCCAGTTTACAGTGGACTATTTTTTGAGAGTTATTATGTTTATGTTTGTAGCTTTAATGGTTTCCATTATCTTCTAGGGATATGTAATGGTGTTAAAAATACTGAAAATAAAATTAATTTTAAAACAAACAGATTGATTCCTACTGGGATATTTTTCTAGTGCCCAGGTATGTCCCCAATTCAGTGTCACATGTGGTATTGGGCATGGCATCAACTAAAGCTCAAACTCAATGCACCATGTCAACTATTGATTTAAATGAATTTCAGGGCTTATGACAGGATCTCCAAGATAGTTTGAGGTTTCAGGGGGAAATTATTACATTATATTCTAAATCACTGCAGCCCAATAACCCAAAGTTTTAGAGACCCAAATGATTCTTTAACCAACAGGTCGAAGATATTGAATTGCTGAAGTTGTTCTTCCTTTTACATCATTCCTGGGAAGAATTTGTTTACCCTAGCATGAAAGTTTTTTTTACAAAATCATTACTAAGAATAACAGATAATTGTTCTCTTTGCTAAGTGGCAAAGATTCACTGAGATATTGACTAATATTTCCAAATAAAAATGATGAGTCAAATGGTTTAGTTTTGCATGTTCTGTAGAACTCCTAAATAAATCCCTACAACCTGAAATTTTATTATACATTTTCCTACTGAATGTACATAGTCCACAATTACCCAGAAGGCTTATATAGTACCAAAACCATCATCCCAACTTCCCCAGTAACACAAAAAGCATAATACAAACCAGATAGCCAAGAACAATAATAAAATCTTCCCATTCCCCATCACACCATGGAAAATCATTCTTCATAGCAAAAATCACTTCCTATGGGGAGGACCCCATCATGTTACAGATGTTCACAGACTTTCTGATCAGGTTTTTAGTGGCCTTCCTGAATGCCAGAAGGTTTGGTGCTGATCTGATCTTGGGAAAAAATATCAGGAAGGTCTCAGATACAGCACATTGATTATTGGCATTTTTTTCTAGAATTCAGAAGTTTCTAAAAGCTTAGCTTTATAGTAATTTTATCATACATGGCTGATTTCTTTCCTTGGCTATCTTAAAATTGTTTGAGGCTAGTTTATAATTATCAATATAAATAAAAAAAATATTTTTCAAATGTTTTACTTGAGAAATCTTATTAGAGAACTCTACTCCATATTAACATATATAGGATGGAGTTGCTACAGACTGGATTTTAAAACTCTTTTTAGCTTTAGTTTGATTATAATTATTTTAATACAGATACATATATGTCCTTAGGTTTTGAGCTCAGCATTTCATATGAAAGTTATGGTTTAGAAACATCTTCACTGCTAATGATACAAAAATTATTCAACAGAAAAAGAAAAAGAAAAAAAAATCTGTGTGCTAATATCCAAGTTATATTTTCTTACTTCCCTCCTAAGAATCTGGTATAACATACCAACCACTGTATTTAATATCACTTTGTTTCTAATAAAATTTCACAAAAACTAGAGAAATGCAATCACAAAAAGGAAGCTGTGCACAAAGCAGGAAAATAACTTAATAGTTACAGGCTTTTCAGTCTTTAAGATCAACAATATTGCCACAAACCTAGCAAGCAGCACAGTAAGATTTCTTGAAAAGACCCTCACAGAGAAAAAAAATCACTTATTACATAGTACACTGATGCTTCATATCTACTTGCTAGGTTGTCATAACAAAAACTCATTCCAAAGTACCATTAAAAGTGCCTCTGCCATACAAATGTGAAGGTTTTATTGTACCAGTTTTCCACAGAGAATGCCACACGTCTCTATTCCTCTTGCTGTATTTGCATCTGCGAGCAGCAAAAACCTGTGACAAAGATCACTGGGTAGAACCACATTTCGCAGTCCTTCAGCAGCAGCATCTAACAAAGAGAAGTGAGAGTGACACTTACACAGAAATCTACAGTATGAACTGTTCTCATACAACATAATCTGAAAATCACTCAGCAGTGCACACTGCTTACGAGTGGGTATTCAAGTGTTCAGCACTACAGCCGATCTAAAGACTTTACATCTGACTTATCCTGATCAAAACAGACTTTCTGTGCCTGATGCAGTTCTGTTGCTTTATTGCAAGCCAAACATACTAAGAAATTATAAGAGCTGTGGTGACACAGTATTGCAGGCTAACTCTGCCCACTGCCAAGAACTTTGATTCTGACTGGATTGACTCCTTCCAAGATTGGTAAAATGAGGACCCAGATTGTTGGGGACAATATGCTGACTCTGTAAACCGCTTAGAGAGGGCTGTAAAGCACTATGAAGTGGTATAAAAGTCTAAGTGCTATTGCTATAGTTGTAAATATGTCCAAAAACTGTTTATAAAATGTATCCATGCAATAACTTAGAAAGTAAACAATAACAAAAAAGTGTGCTTTCTTACTCTGAACGGCACTTAAGGTAGCAGCTGGCTTTAAGGCCCGACTGATTGGAGGAGATTGACTAGCAGAAGCATCACTCTTGTTTGCTATTATTTTGGGGAAAGAATTGTTCAGATGTGCAACAGATGACAACATGTTCCCCTCAGCTGGCTCTGATGTAACTGAATTATTCTTAGTTTTCTGACCACGAGCTAATTCTTGTTTTTTTAACTGATCTTCAAAGAAATGAAACTGCTCTGTTTCCAGCTGCTGTTGACGGATCTGTGCAATTCGCTTCTTTTCTGCCTCAATCAATTTCTGTTGCTCTAGTTTCTTCAGTAACTCAGCTGTGCATTTGTTCTGGAAAATAGAATACATTAAAAGAACATGTTGTTAATCCAAATTAATAAGGTACAATGCATTTAAATAACATGAAGCATAATAGATCGGAATACTTTAATATCTGCTGCATCTACCAAGAACATCTCCAGATGTTATCAGCATCTGAAGAGTGATGTTGCAATATCACTCTCCAGATATTGATAACTCCAGCAGCCCCAGCCAGCATGGCTAAAATGAGGATTGCTTACACCATGGTTTCCCAGGGAGGAGGCAGTACATTCAGGAGAGAAACCTAATTAAGAGACTGTGCATGTGGGAGGTAGGAAGAGGTTGGGATATCCCCCCTAGAATCTTAATATATATCTATTAGGTTGGAAGATATGGCTTTAGTCTAGCAAGATTCTGTCTCTTAGGTTAAGCAAATAAAGAATTGGATTCAATTGGATTGCACTGTTTTGTCTAGGAGCTTGGCCTGATATAGCAACACTCAATGAAAGATGTTTGTGCTTTAAGATCTAATAACACTTTCCAGCAAGGTGATTATAAAACCACATCAACTTTATCACCTGGCAATTTAAAGACAAAAGCAGTCACTTTGTCTACACCAAAATGAATGATGATAGTTTTAAAACTGCAATCTAATTTATAGTAGCTTTCACCACATAAATTATAATTTTGCTTTGGCACTGCTATTCAGAGAATGTATTAGAGCAGGGATGTCAAACTCGCAACATCATGTGATGCGTTGCAATATATTGTGACTTTTTTCCCCCATTGCCGGCAATGGGGTGGGCACAGTTTTGCCATGATGCATCTGGCCCATGGGTCGGCAGTTTGACACCCCTGTATTAGAGAGTTTAGACTTGTCTATATAGCTAAGAAGTAAAAGGTACCTTATCTTGCATATATTCCTGGTATTCTGCACTGTATTTCTTTAACAACTCTTTCTTCAATTCATCAGTCCTTGGAAATGCTATATCCTTTAATTTCTTTGTTAGAGAGAAAATAAGAGAAATAAAATGCAATTATACACATCTATGTACAAACAAATAAACCCATAAATACACAAATAAACCCATAAATACTTTTGCTGCTTCATGTGCCAAATAGTCAGCTTAATCCTAGTTTAGTCTAGTGCAGGGGAATGCTACCTTGACAACTTTAAGACCTGTGGGCTGCAGCTCCCAGAATTCCTCAGCCAGCATGCTTGGCTGAGGAATTCTGGGAGTTGAAATCCACAAGTCATAAAAGGGCCAAGTTTGAAGACCCCTGCTCAAGCTAGAGCCTAGCATCAAAAAAATCAAATACTGATTATGATTTGTAAATTTGAACCTTAACTGACTCAATAAGAGCATTCAACACCCTCAGGCCACTGTCAGGGTTTTTCTTTCATTAACCATTCTTAGAAAAGACAGGAGAAATCCCCTAGAGCAGAGGTTCTCAACCTTTTGGGCACCAGGGACCAGTTACATGGAGAGAGGTTTTTCCGCAGATTGGAGGGGGCGGGGTTTTGTGTGCTGCCTGCATCCTGTGGATGGGGCTTTCCTTGTTTGTGCGGACTGGTTACTGACATGCCGTGGCCCGGTATTGGTCCACGGACCGGAGGTTGGGGACCCCTGCCTTAGAGGACCATTTCTTTTAAAAAAGACACTCTACCTTCATAATATCCTGTTTCTCTGGAACTGCACATTGCTGGTAGTCCCGATGACATGGCAGCTTTTCTACAAATAAACTAGAAAATACACACACATTTATCCCTTTGCAAGTCTGATGAACAATACTAATGCTTTTCCACTGAGACAACTGTAAAGTAGATAAATCATAGGACGTTAGAAGGAACATTTGTTTCTTCTTTCATTCACAGAAGCTTTCTGTATCTTTGAAGTTCAAATTAGTAGCACTGCTAAAGACCAAAAGAGAATATTCAGACCTTTGAAGGGATACTTTGCTACTACAAAATTTCATATCACATGTCCCTCTGAAACTATTATCTCCCCACCCCCACCTCCTTCTAAAAGCAAAATGGCCACACCAAAGCTTCACTTGGCCATCTGAACAGTTGGAAGAGATGAATGGGTTGGAAGCCTCTTCCACCTTGACCTGACAGTAACTGGAAGTACCAAAAGAGGCCTTGAATGAATGGGAGATTCATTTCCATGTGAGATGCTACACTGTGTTACCCCTGTATCTAATGATACAAGTTGTGAAGTGCTTCATCAATGCAAAGAACTGCTCCCTTGAAGGCATAAGCCAAGAGTCTTGTGATGGTGACCAGAAGATTGGTAGTTCAAGATCCAAGCACCACATAACAGGGTGGGCTTCCGTTTTTGCCTCAGCTCCTACCAACCTAGCAGTTCGAAAGCATGCAAATGCAAGTAGATAAATAAGTACCATTTTAGTGGGATGGTAATAGTGTTCAGTGCCCCTCAGCATATAATCATGCTGGCCACATGACTGCAGAAAAGGTCTTTGGACAATGCTGGCTCCCTTGGCTAGGAAATGGAGATGAGCACTGCCCCCTGGAATTGGACACCACTGGACAAAGGAAACCTTTACTTTTTATAATTGTCTGGAATCATATTTATCATGGTGCAGTGTTGCTATTTTTAGTGCAATTCTTCTGAAAGAAATGGCTTGTATATTATACTAATGCCACTTTCAGAATATATTTTTGCATGTCTACATTTACCAAAAAATATCCTTTCTTTTCATCATAATCCTCTCCCTTTTTCAAATATAGCAAGCATTAGTTGACACCCTAATATTTTTTTCCTAAAATACCAACAATATTAGATGCACAGCGTAGTAGCATGCTTGACTTTCCACACCTTCTGAATGGTCAATTAATAAAACTGCATTGGAACAAAGAATTTTTTCCAGGGATTATGTATGTATGTATGCATGCATGCATGTATGTATGTTTGTATGTATGATTGTAGGCACAATTTTAATGATGATCTCCAGTTTATTTAATATTTAACTCATGATCATTTAGCAGTTTCCATATTTAGAGCAGTTATTATTAAGACTATGCGAAGTTTCACATTCAGTTTCTGAAAAATTTTTCAGAGTATACAAAATGCAGCACCTGTTTGCACCTTAGGCAAGCGGTTGCATTTTTTCATGGGGTTACTCTACTGCTCTCTGCAGCAACCAAGCACTAATGGGAAAAGAAGTGATTGCTTCTAGACAGTTGTAAATCAGTGCTTCTCTCTTGACCTCCAAAACCTTTCTGAAATTGAATCTAAAGGACTGCATAGGCCTATCAGTTTGGTCTGCTAATACTGTACCAAAGTAATGAAATACAAGGTAATTTCTAAAGATTAAATTACAGTATTTATTTACAAATTGTTCCTTACGTTATAAATTTATTGTAGAGAACAAAGGCATTTTCAAGATTTCCCTCTTGCAGATAGACAGAAGCCATGCGCTCCATCTCCACTCCAGATCTAAAGTAGCGTCGGGGTGTAATGTCTTCATTTATTGTGATATTACAGCCAAGCTTGCTTAAGGCACGGACACGCTCCTCTGGGCTCAAGGAAATATCTGTGTGGTCAGGAATAGCTGCTAGCTTTTTCTGTTAAAACAGAGGTCACAAATTGCATTTTATTTTGACATGTGACTTTGATTCATGTATGTTCAATATTTCTGAAAAGCAAATGAAATTATGAGCTAGGTACACCCCATGCTTTTAAAAGGAAGCTTTCATTATGTTTCCACAAAATCCCTGCAAAATAAATGATTGTCCTAAAACAAACATTTCCACTGCACGCGCACACACACACACACACACACACACATCAAAAGCATAATTACCTTGACACTAATTGCAACTAATATGCAACCAAAGTAAGGCCTATTGTGTTGCATTTCCATTTTTCTTTTCTTTTCTCTCATATACACTTATGCAAATGCATTTTAACCATGAACCTTTGGGTCTCTATTTTTAAAATTAATGTGAACTGCTCTATTATTCTCTAATGGAGATGACCATGAAAGATTTTAAAAAAACATGATTCATGCTGAAAAGCATAAAGTTATTGAAAACAGCATCTTCATAGCAATAGCACTTAAGGACAACTTTATGAACCATAAACTGACACTAACCTAGATGCATCTTTACTAGATTTGGGGAATCAGTGCATCCTACGACATATTTGAATTTGAATAGAAGGCTTGTTCTACAAAAAGCTCAGTGGATGTGCTGTCTGATCAGCAGTTTTCCTATATTATAAAGCATTAATCCTTACCAAGGAACTCACAGTGAATGGTTCTTCCATGTTGTGTCAGCAACCCAGCTTATTTTTTTTTTTTCTTTCCAATCATGCCATCTAGTCACAAAAGAGAATGGGAAACTGTATAGCATTCAGGAGAAATACTAAGCTGCACAAAGTAGTAGCCAATGGAGAAGTTCCAAAGAAATACAAGCAAAGGAAATCAAATCATATCATTTATTCATGGTACAACAACAATATAGCACATAAAATTTAAAATACATGAAAAAAAGCCCTGAAACCATTAATAATGAGTATTAACTTGCTTTTGCAAGCTATAGCTATTGCTAGAACTTGGCAACCTTTATAGTGCTTATCTAGATTACGTCTTGCTGAGGGAAGACTGTAATTCCTTGATCAGAGAGATAACATATTTTTGATAATCAGGTTCCTGAATGCCAGACGTCACAGGTGGTACAACGGGCACTGTAATAATACACAGATACTGACTTAACCGCTGTATCTGAGCAGACACATTGATACATTTGCCTCTAATCTATATTGTAATATTGTCATGTTACAAAATTATCAGCCTGAGAAAGCAACAATTATTTGAGGTTGTAGCTAATTTCCTCCACAGTATCTCATAGGCAATTAAATTGAAGGCTGTCCTTTAATCAATAAAGGGTTGAAGTATTTTTCAATTAAAATGTGCAAAATCGCACATTGATCCATGGTAGAATATTCTGAACTAAGACCTGCTTGTTCTTAAACTAAAATATTCTAATCTAAACATTTATGGTATAAAAATCAAGGATAATGTAATTATTGACAGTATTACAACTGGGCAATAATTAGCAAGATTTTGCCTTCTCTATTGCCTTTCTGGTATATTGGAAGAGTGACAGAATTAAATCAGTGTTTGGAAACTAATAAAGAGTTATTTAAGAGCAATAAACATGGGGACTAACCCAGATGCCAATTGGTCAGGATTTATTTCCAACAATACTGGCAAAATTGTATCTTTATCTGGAGCTTTGCCACTTTTCAACTGACAAATTGGTTTTGGGATTTCTGATTGTCAAACCAAAGGCCAAGTGGGATAGGAATCAGATAAAGAAGACCCAAGAGAATCACCACCAAAGGAACACTAAGTTGCCAAAATATCTCATCCAGGACTCCAAACAGATTAAATCATTGACACTGGAGCTAGGTTTATCTGAATGCAAGAAATAAGATGACCATCCTAATTTGTTACTGCTTCTTGGAGCCCTGTCATTTCACTAGTTGGTCATTTTGCTCTTTTTTTCTCCCCAGAAGCTTTTATATTCCTTTTTTTTCTTAAAAGTAAATGAACAATTTTACAAGAGGGAGAATCATGACACACTGGGTGTTTTACAGGCTGAAATTACCATAGTCTTGGTTTGAACATAATTTTTATCAAACCAAGGTTTGAAATGTGAGGTTTTAGTAGAAAAGTGGAAGCTATAACCACAGGCCGAGCTATAATCGCAGTCCATAACAAAGCTAGTGTGATGTCTGTGTGAAATTTTTGTACACATTAAGATGTTTATATCCCTAGAGCACAACCCTTTTTCAGACTGGGTCTCAGTGTAAGGAAATAAGAGATAACTTCTAAGATCTAAAGGTCCTAAGGACCAAGTCTCATGAAGAAAAGGATTTCTAATTGATATAAAAAGCCATTAATGTGAATTTTGTCCATTTAGAGCACCATGCTACAATGCTGCAGGCAGCTAGTGGTACATTGGGAATTAGTGGCAATTATTCAGATGGGAACATCTTGAATATAAGAGGTAAAAGCAGTCACTAGCAATAACCATTTTGTCATCAAGTCTGACAAAGCAATATTTGTCTTTAGCAATATGTAGCATCTTCACAGACTGATGTTCATAAGTAATCTAATGTATTTTGGTTCCTAAGACAGAAAACCAAAGTACTGTCCATCAACATTACAAAATCAATACCATTATTTTTAAAGGACTCAATTTACATGGCAAAGGAACATGCAACATGGTAGTTTAATGTATTTAAACTGATTATATTGCTGACAATTTGCCAGGGTTTAATAATGAACTTATTAAATAAATATGTTCAATTTCCTGCCTATCTCCCTACATTATTTACTATTATACTGCTAACTAAAGAGGGGAAGATTTTATAATAGATAGTGTCATGTAAAATATTAATGAAACGGGATACGTTTTTGCTGTTTTGATAGGCAGGGAATACAAGATAAACCTTTATCAGTGCTAGCCACCTTGCAACACTGAACATTAAGAATTGACAGAGCTCTGGGTTCAACCTCCCAAAAGTGCTACAGAGCACACAGCTCCAGTTTCCATGCTTTTCCCCAAAAGCACAGCTACCTTCTCCTCCTGCCTTCTCCGTTGCTCTTTTTGGAGATGAAACCAAAGTACCTCACAGTCTTGTTGAATGTTCTCAAGATCTCATATCTTTTGGTTTCATTGTAGTCTCCCATTTGCAGCCAAACCTGCTTTATCATACAAAGTAAGGTAAGTTCTTCAGAGATCACATCTGTTCCCATATGATTCTTTTGTGTCTCTCTGAACCTGCAAAAATCACATGGCTGTATTTTGGCAGAACACTCCAAGAAATGTCAGCGATGCAATTTTTTACTGCTGTATGCTTTATAGTAGGGGGGAGAAAGCTAATATAATGATGTATGGGTCATAGTGTATTCCAGATCTACTGCCACTCTTTGTTCCCATAATGGGAAAGCAAACTAGAAATCAAGCCTCTAGGATATTTGGTGAAGCCACTACCAGTAACTTGCCTATTGTGGTCAGTGGCTCCCAATATTTAAAACTTTTCTATTTAGGTGTAGCCTCTAATGTCTTCAAAGCTGTCAGTGTTTCAATTTCCAGTGTACAGACGGGGAAGCTGTGGCTCTTCAGATGTTGCTGAATTTGGTCTGGGGAGTGATGCTGGAAATTGCAATTTAGCAATATGTGGAGGGCCATAGGATCTCACAAGTAGATATCATTTGCAGAATAATACTGGAGTACAAAATTCTTACTTAATATTCACTATTTAAACTCATTGGATTTTCATGTAAACCAGGATGATTGCAGAACTCAACTATGGGAAAATAAAAATGAATAAACCTACATTCTGTAAAACAACAGCTAATCTCTGTGACAAGAACATTTTCCCCATCCATTATTCCCATTTTCCAATATTAGCTTAGTGATGCCAACCATATTTTTCTTCCTTTGGAGACATTTTTGCAATAGTGATGTGTATTTTTGTTTAGAAATAAATAAGAAAGTAAAAAGTACACCATGCAATATTCACTTGCAAGAAAACAGCTGTTTCACTAAATAAGATTTTCAGCAGGAGAAAACCTGAGTCAGAAACTCAACTTTCTCTGACTACCATTGGTAGTCCTCAATTTACAGCCATTCATTTAGCAATTGTTTGAAGTTACGACAGCACTGAAAAAAATGACTTAGGACTGGTTCTCACACAACCATCATAGCATCCCCATGGTTGCATGATCAAAATTTGCATGTTGGCAACTGGCATGTATTTAAAACAGTCGCAATAGATTGGGTCATGTGGTTACCATTTACAACCTTCTAACAAGCTGGCTTCTGACAAGCAAAGTCAATAGGGGAAGCCAGATTCCCTTAAAAACTGCATAATTCACCTAACAACCACAGAGATTCGCTTAACAACTATGGAAGAAAAAGTAATAAAATTGGGCATGATCCACACAACAACTGCTTCGCTTAGCAACATAAATTCTGGTCCCAATTGTTGTAAGTTGTTATTTAAAAATTCTTTTTTGTTTCTTCAGATACACATCAACAAACATTTTCTCAACAGAAGCTAGAACTTAGCTTCTATTAAAACTTCCCATTCTGGTTTATAATAATATTCACCAGTATTGGAATATTTATTTATTTATTTATTTATTTATTTACTTACTTACTTACTTATTTATTTTCTAGACCACCTATCTCTCCCAAAGAAAGACTCTTAATGGTAGATTCAAGCTGAACACTTAATTACCTTAATGCAGTGGTTTTCAACCTGTGGGTCGGGACCCCATTTGGGGTCGAATGACCATTTCACAGGGGTCGCCAAACAAGGCTGTCCACCATTTTTCCCCCTTTTCTTTGGCCACGCCCCTGGCACCCTGTGATGTATAAGTGGTTGGGGGTCACCACAACATGGGGAACTGTATTATAGGGTCGCGGCATTAGAAAGGTTGAGAACCACTGCCTTAATGGCTTTCCAAGGTTTTTTGGAGAGAACTGGGGATGGGTAGGAGGGGTTAAAATAAAAATACTATTGCACTGGTATTAATATACAGCAGGGGTATTCAAATGTGGCCCTTTTATGACTTGTGGACTTCAACTCCCAGAATTCTGGGAGTTGAAGTACACAAGTCATAAAAGGGCCATGTTTGAAGATCCCTGCTATACAACAGTAAGTCACATATTTTCATCTGAAATAATGTTTTAATGCAGTGTCTCTATGCTTTATTTTTTGTTGTTGTTTTTTACTTTACTTTTTTTTACTTTTTTACTTTACTGGGGAGACATTGGAGATGATTTATTTTATGGACTCATTAGATTTATATTCCACCCTTTTCTCCAGACATTCAAGATGGCATATGTCACATTCTCCTCTTCACAGCCCTGTGAGATTTGGACTGTCAAGAATGATCAACCTAGTCACTCAATGAACTTCCATTGGTGATGGTGACCTCAATCCTAATTCAGAACCTTAACTACATGGCACATATTAGCTAACAGTATTTGGCACTAATAAAATCCACAACATTTTGGAAGAAACATTATAGTGGAAGATGTATTTTTATCATTTTCCACAGAATCTAAGTATTGTATTTCATTTAATCTGGCAACCAAGCCCTTTTAATTTTATTAAACTGACAATGAACACTTAGTTTTTAAAAACTAAGGCAAGGTATGGGCCACTTCTGCACCAATATAATTTACTTATTTTTTTACCATCCTTCCTCCCAATAGTTCCAGTGCTATCTATTTACATAATATTTCTCTTAATCATAAGACATCTGTGTCTATAAATCATCACATTTTTTTACAAAAAACAAGTAACAATTAAAGTCATTCTGCTCTCACAAAGCTGACATTTTTTTCAATACTGTCACTATGTACCATCTTCCTCCAAAAAAAGTACAAGTATGAAACATACAGAAACCAAATAATTGAAGATGGGAGGAAAAAAGCTGACCAAATTTGACTTGCATATCTCTCATGAAAAATTCAGTATTTACTCCATCATTACAGAAAACAAGAAACGGTGTGTGTTTTTTTAAATAGGGTTGGGATTCACCTGGTTTCCAATGACATCATAGCAGGCTCCAACTTTGAGTCCAGCATCAAACCTCAAAGAATTGCACATAAGTTAAATAGGTTTTTAATGTGTTATGTCATGTGCTGGAAATGCTATGTTTAAGCCCTGTGCATTTTAAAATGGGAAATGTATTATCTAGATTCTAGAAACTTTTGGTTTTGAGTTGGGAGGGGTAAGGACCTTATCCATCCCAACTTAAAACCAATATAACATGGTTAGGGTCCTTATCCCTCCCAACTCAAAACCAACATAACTTCTGTTTAAAACAAAAGTTTCTAGATAAAACATTTCCCATTTTTAAATGCACAATGCTTAATCACAGCATTTCCAACACATGACACAACATATTAAAAGCCCATATAACCTATCTGACTTTTATTCCATATGCAAGGAGCATACATATTCTACTATCAGGTGACATATGAAAATTATCCTGTTTTCACAGTTGCAATCTTGTGAATTAAATTAGTGAATAAGCAACTAATCTAATAGCAAAGAGTATATGTCATGGCAGAACAAGAATATGAACACTGAATGGCCTGATCAAAAACTAATTTTATCCAAAATTCAATGCTGTTTTTAACTTACCTTTATGACTCCCAGGAAATATTTTCTGCCCAAAAGTTATTATTACTTTCTTTTTCAATTAAAAATTGCTTTTATGAATCAATTAGACTTGATTTGTTTCTGACACTGCATGCAATTTGATGAGCCACACTTAAAATGTGGAAGTGTCCTAATATAGAGCAGGCACAGGATGTACAGCAACAAGCTATTCGTGCATTGCTGTTCATTTCTGCTTAGAATTAACCAATCACAGTTGGTTTTATAACTGTTTGTTATAAACAGGCTGAGAAGCATAATCCCACTTCCTCTGAGCAGTGAAAAACAGAAAGTAGAAGATAAGACTTTTACTCCCCCAAAGGAACAATTAGTATTTTGTACAGTTGTATGAAGCCCTGGAGGGATTAATTTCTACTTTCAATTAGAAAATGGACTCAATATAGGAAAAGATAATTTAAGATGCAACTCTTCATGCCACAAAGAGTAGAGGAAGATAGTGTGTGATTGTCACCAGTTTGTAAATATTATTAGTGATATTACAACTATCAGGAACTGCTTCAACTGCTAGTAACATCCATGAGTATCAGCTCTGAACTTAGCACATAGAAATATAAGTTCCATATGCCTTTCCCCAGCCAGTTTATTACATGCCGGCTATTTCATTGAGTGCAATAAGGCTTTATAAGCAATCTTCAAACACACTTCACATTCTTCCATTTTTTTACAAATTAATCCCTAATTCCACATTAAAAAATAAATTAGAACTAAAACATATTGTCTGCCTAGCAATAAATCTTGGATGTCTTTGTTTATTTATTTTAGTAAAAGAACTGGAATATGACTACAGACAAGAATGTTAGAAAGCTTCAACAGCATTTTATATATTATAAATCTGTATTGAGGAATGTATTTTATAAAAAAAAACCCTCAAAAATCACTAAAAATGTGCATGTTTTCAAAACTTCCAGATAAATTTCCAGGAAGAAGAGAAAAACAGCAAAAGAAAAAAAATACTATTCATGGTGCTGAAGTCAAAAAGTCCAGGCATGGTCAGGTTCCTGCACAAAAGAAGAAGACTAAATATTGCTCATATGCAAATAATCAAGAATCAGAAGAAAATAAACTGGAAGTCAGAATAAACCATGGTTATTGCTAAGAAGAAAAGTCAAAGCCAAGAAAGAGAAAGATCTCAGGAACAAACATACAATAAAGAATTTCAAAGAGTATTAGAAGATACAAGAAGCAATATTACAGCAATATCTGGAAAACACTAAAGATGGAAACAGACATGGAAAAACAAGGAAATTCTTTCAGAACAATATCTGAACTCAGAAGGTTCCAATCTCAAATTGGTAAGCTAAATAATGCCAATTGATTGATAACAGTTGATTCAAAAATCAAACAAAGATGGAAGGATGATACTGAAATTTTGTACAGTAAAGATGTCAACATCTAAGATATTTTTAAAAGTATTTCCTACTTAAGAGAACCTTTAAAGTTAAAAATAAAGTTAGATCAGCACTCTGATCATTGCCATGTTGGCAGCTACAGGAACTGATGGAATAGCAACAGAAATATGGGTAGCAACAGAAGAAGAATCAGTAAAATGACCGAGGCATGTCTAAGATATGTCATCAAACCTAGAAAATGATACGATGGTCAAAAAATTGGAAAAGATCAATTTACACAACAATACCAAACAAAATGGATGAATTATTGTATTATATCTTTAATTTCACATGCTAACAAAATAACATTTAGTATCATGCAACACAGATTAAGCCCTATATGGAGAGATGCCAAATGTTCAAGCTGGCTTTAGAAAAGGCCAAGGAACATAATGCATTATCTTGATGTAGGCGAAAATTAAAGAATACCCCCCAAAAAATGTTAGCATGTGCGTCATTGATTGCAGAAAAGCCTCAGTTGTGTTCATCATGCCAAGATGCGGACTGTGGTTAGAAAAATGGGTATCTCAGAACATCTTTCTGTCCTCACATAAACCTTCTACATACCTCAGGAAGCCACAGTATGGAGATAATATAAATTACTCCAAGTTGCCATAGAAGTAAGATAAGGCTCTATCAGCTCCCCTTATTCCCGGGGTTCCCAACCCCTGGTCCGTGGACCGGTATCGAGCTGCAGCATGCCAACAACGGTCTGCACAAACAAGCAAAGCCCCATCCTTGGGATGCAGGCAGCACACAAAACCTCACATTCCTTAGTCCACAGAAAAACTTTTCTCCACGGAACTGGTCCCTGGTGCCCAAAAGGTTGGAGACCTCTGCCTTATTCAACCTACATGCAGAATATATTTTGATAAAAGCTAGATTGAAAGATGATTGTGGCTTTAAAACTGGAAGACATATCAATAACTTGTGCTATAGTGATGAAGTGACTCTGATAGCATGCAAGTGATCCACAAGCTCCAGTAAGGAAAATTAAGGAGAATAGTAAAAACAAACAAACAGGGGAGTCAGATTAAATATAAAGGAGGCCAAGGTAATGACAACAGGTCCAGCAAGGAGTCTTAGAATTGACAATAAAGATAATGAAGTAATGTATACCTCCTGCCTTTTAAGATTAACTATCAACAGTAAAATAAATACACTACATACTTGGAATGAAGATATTAGGAAGATATTCAGATGCCAGGATGTATCTATAACAGCAGTAGTTTTCTCTGTAACACTCTATGGAAAATAATGCTGGACTTTGAAGAAGTGGGATAGAAAGATTACAGGTAGTCCTTGACTTATGAGCACAATCGAGACCAAATTTCCATTGCTAAGCAAGACAGTTGTTAAGTGAGTTGTGCCCCATTTTGCAACATTTTTTTTATCATAGTTAAAGAAATTACTGCAGTTGTTAAGTAAATCTGGCTTCCCCCACTGCTTTGCTTGTCAGAAGCCAGTTGGGAAGGTTACAAATGACAAATACATGATTCCAGGGCAATGCAATTGTCATACATGCTAGTTGCCAAGCCTCAGAATTTTGATGATCACATGAGTGTGGGGCTGTCACAATGGTTGGAAGTGTGAAAATAAGGTCATAAGTCACTTTTTTCAGTGCTGTTGTAACTTTGAATGATCATTAAACAAATAACTGTTAAGTCAAGCACACCCTGTATTGAGTTTTTTGAATTTCAATGGATCATTTAACCAAGCAGAATTCTCATTTGAGGCTCATCAGGCCCACATATTCTTGTTTCAGACCTATTATTGCAGACCTAGCTCTCTGGAGAAGTCTATAATGGTGGTAGGAAAGAGAAGATGGACTCAGTTATAGCTGCAAGAGGTGCACCACTGGAAGACTGAAAGACCAAACTGGGAAAAAAAATCCTATTGGAGAAAATATATCTGTGTAGTTACTAAGATTCTACATTAACTTGATGGCACATAATCAATAAAAGCAGTATGATTGATTGGGGGGTTTTCTTTTCATTTTTTTAATATATAATTTTTATTAGTTTTTATAGGGTTAGGGATAAAATGGGGTCAGAATTAGGATTGAGGTTTGGGTTAGGGTTGGGATTGGGGCTTTCCCAGGTAACATTTTCAATAGTTAGCAAACAGCATATTGTTTGGGTACATATTGTCTGGGTACATTTAACTAACAATAATAGATATAGTTAATTATCATAAACAGTATTAATTACTCACTCAGTAGCCTTCTTCTTACTAATATATATTCAAATTACGTATCACATTTCTTTCTCTCTGACTCGTTTTTCTAGCCATTGGTAAAAGTTATTCCATGTTCTAAAGTAGACTGAGTCTTCTTTCTCTTTAATCTCTTAAGTCAATCTATCCATTTCTGCACACTCTAGAATTTTCTTAATTAGTACTTCTTCAGTTGTTAAGTTTTCATTTTTCCAATATTGCACAAATACAATTCTTGCTGCTGTTAATACATGTAGTATTAGATAGCTGCTATCTTTCTCGTACTTGGCTCCTATTATTCCTAACAAAAACAATTCTGGTTTGAAGTCTATTTGCTTTTTAGTCATCTTCTCCAACCATAGATATATTTTAGCCCAATACCTTTTTGCTTTAGAGCATGTCCACCAGATGTGATAATAAGTACCTGTCCTTTGTTTGCATTTCCAACAATTGTTTGAAGTATTTTTAAACATTTTCCCTAGTCTCACTGGTGTCATGTGCGATCTGTAAAACATTTTGTATAAGTTTTCTTTATATGGCACTGCTTTAGTTAATTTAATATTTCTTTCTCATAATTTTTGCCACTCTTCTAATTCTATAGTATATCCAAAATTCTTTGCCCATATTATCATTGTTTCTTTTACTTGTTCTTCCTTCATCTTTAAATTTAACAGGAATCTATAGAGTTTCTTGATCAACTTTTCATCTGTTTTAACAGTATCTGATCAAAGTCTGTTCTTTATAAAAATCCCATTGTTTTAACATCTTTTTCATATCTCGTTTGAATTTGCAGATATGGCCACTTGTTCTTGTAATTCTTGTCTGTCTTTCAATTTTCCTTCATTGTCCAAAATATCTTTATAAGTCACAACTTTATTGGAGTTAATTAAATTTGGGTAAGCAAAAGCTTCCATTGCTGAAAGCCATTCAGGTATCTTAATATATTTTTTTTTCTTTTATTCTTTCCCATTCTGAAAGAAGTGCATTCCTTATAAAATGGTTTTCAAAGTATCTATGTATTTTATTCTTTCCATACCACAGAAAGGCATGCCAACCGATTTGCAGGTCATGCCCCTCTAGGTACAGTAGTCTTTTATCTCTAAGTATTATCCATTCTTTAAGCCATGTTAGAATGGTTGCTTGGTAATATAACCTCCAGTCCAGCAGTCCAAATACTCCACTGTCTTTTGCTTCTTGTAGCATTTTTACTTTGATTCTAGCTTTTTTTCCTTGCCAGATAAATTTCAATATTATTGTGTTCAGTTCATCAAAAAAGGCTTTTCTCAGCCTTACAGGGATCGTTTGAAATAAAAAGAGTATTTTTGGTAAGATATTCATTTTCACTGTTGCTATTCTACCCAACATTGAAAGTTGGAGGTTCTTCCACTTTTCCAAATCCAATTTTGTTTTAGCAGTCTTACATAATTATCTTCTTTTACTGTTACACATCTTGCTGTTAGATAAATTCCCAAGTACTTAACTTTTTTAACTATTTGAAGATTTGCTTTTTTGTTAGTTGGTTTTTTTGTTTTTCTGTTAAGTTCTTTGTCAACACTTTAGTCTTTTCTCTACTTATTGTCAGGCCTGCCACTTCTCCAATTTTTTCTATTTTCTCCAGATGTTTAGTGCTTGTTTCCAATGGATCTTCCAGTATAAAAACCAAGTCATCTACAAATGTTTGTAATTTATATTTTTCATCTTTTATCTCCACTTTATCTCCAGGTTTTCTTTTCATTTTTGTTCCTTTGAGTCAGTTTTTATTCCTGGCAGTTTTGATTCCTGACCAGTCCCTGCAGTTTTCTTGGAAGTGATTTGCCATTTACTCCTTCCTAATGAGGACTGCTCCAAGGTCATCTTCTTAGAGGAGGAACTACCTAGAATTTCCAGGTTTCTAGTCAAGATGCCTTAATCATTATACTATACTGGCTCTTCAGATGGATGTTACTTTATTTCTAAAGTATGTTTACTGTATATTTTTTTTGCCTGATTTAGAAAGGTTGGGATGTATACCACTGAAGTCATTCATGACTGAAATAGTTTATAAGTCCCCAAAAATTAAGAGATAAAATTATAAACAAACCAGACTTCCTTTGGATAAGTGGTTCTCAATCTTTTCTTTACCACAGACCCCCTTTAAATACCTTTTGTGGCCATGGACCATGGCCACGGATCCCCAAGACTTAACTCAAGATTTAAATCATAACATTTCTTCAAGGCTTTGCAGACCCCGTGACGACATTGCTGACCCCAAGGGGTCTATGGACCACAGGTTGAGAACCGCTGCTTTAGAGCAGGGGTCTTTTATGACTTGTGGACTTCAACTGCCAGAATTCCTCAGCCAGCATGCCTGGCTGAGGAATTCTGGGAGTTGAAGTCCACAAGTCATAAGAGAGCCAAGTTTGAAGACCCCTGCTCTAAAGCAGTGGTTCTCAACCTGGCAAATTTCAGATAGCAAGACTTCCAATTCACTATACTCCACAATTGGCACAGCCATTGCGGTCCACATCAGTGGAAATTGCTACAGTAAGTAAAAATGGCTATAAGGCTGTTTGATGATGAACCAAACACATGATAAGCCAGCCTCTTAATGTAACACCCTGATGTCACCAGGATTTCACCTCCATCCTGTGTAAGATGGAAAACAAATTTAGAGAGAAACCAGTCAGTTTATTTTAAAAAGTAAAAGCCAAAAGTAATGCACAAGGTAAAATTTGGCTTCACACATCTAATATAACATATGAAAACATATATATCTAAAATGTACAGCTTTTATTATTAAAACTGAGTTTTGCTTTTTTATTAAAAGCATCTGCCTGTACTCACAGTCCTCTGTACTGTGATCTTATGATCCTGAATTGCTGAATTGTTCAAGATGATTATCTCCTTTCAGATTTAATCCAGTCCTAGTGATATCAGTCATGTCAGCGATTATAAGAAATAATGCATCTTTTTTGTGAATACAGTATAGAAATGGTAAACATTTCTTTATGTAATATGATATAATAATATTTCTTTTTCATTGCTTTTAAAATATATTATTTCAAGAGAAAATATGGTTGGTTCAAAATCTTAGGAGGACAAACGAGAGGCCAGCATTGCAGACCATTATTTTCCAACCAGGAACAATCCAGATGTATTTCAAGGCATTCCAGCAGCTTAATTTCCAATACATCTGGAGGATTTACAAGAAAGGAGGATACTGTTCAAGACAACATAAGTAACTGCATGAAACTTCTGTTTTCTTTCCATTCTAGCAATATGATTTCTATGTATCGTTTTGATAAATGATAAAACAGGGCAAGAATAGTTGCTAAGCCAGAAGTTACTCTTTAGTCTGTTAAATCTGATTGGAAATAGAATATAGCTTTAGTTCTGCCAAAGTGTTAAGTCACCTTGAATTGTGAAGTGTTCTCCTTCATATATATTAATAGAATATAGCTTTAGTTCTGCCAAAGTGTTAAGTCACCTTGAATTGTGAAGTGTTCTCCTTCATATATATTTATGCAATTTATGATTATCTGCTTCCAATGTGTTCTTCCAGTCAATTATTAGTCCTGGATCTTCTCAATGCTGCTTTACACAGTACCCCGATTTCCTTTTTCTCTGTCAGGCATCAGATTGCAATTCAAACGCACCATGGTTAAAAACCACACACTCCTCGCAATCAATACATGCTAAACTGCTGAGGGTAAGCAAAGAGAAAGCCGCAGTCCTGAAGTGAAGAATGAGCTCAAGAAGAGATGCGGTAACACTTGAGTTGCAGGCACCATCTGCTAGAACAAGAAATCATAGCAATTGCTATTCCCAGGGGGTTGGATGTGCCCCGTGGCACAACTAAGGCCAGCGTCGGTTCCGTTGTAGGCTGACAGGAGAGAGAGAGAGATGCTAGACAACTACAACTGGCGGGTCTCTCCATGCCCTTGTCGCTATGATCTGGCTGCACCAATTTTCCGCAACTGGGGGGGGGAGCAGTTTTGCCGGCAGAACCATGCCTACTCTATCCCCCACCCCACCCCTTCCCAAACGCCACACTCATAGACCCTGCCAGTGCAGTGCTATAAAACATAGGAAGCCGGTCCTCTCTGCTTGCTAGGTGAGACGAACACCTTGCCTCCAGCCACAGCCAACCTAAAGGCGCCGGAAGCTCCAAGCGAGGCGACGAGCAATGGAGACCACCGCCGCTGCCAAGCGCCCATACTTTTCCCCGCAGCGCCCGCTCCTCCTTTCCCTTCGCTTCCCGGCGGCAAAGCCAGCCCTGCCTTCCCGTCTCCTTACGCCGCCACCCCACCCCACGCGCTCAAGAAAGATACACAAAGGGAGGCGGGCGGCGCCCTCAGGCTCGCTTACCATTTCGCCGCCGCCGTTGCGCTGGATGCCCAGATTCTCTTCAACCTGGGATGCTTGGCTCGCCAGGCGCTCGCCTCCTCCTTCGCATGAAGCCGCAGCTGCTGCTGC